TATTATCAACAACAAAATGATAAACAAACCATGGGCGTAGTGAAGAAAAGCATTTACTTATTAAGTAAATTCTTTTAGTCAAATTTCTTCTGAAAGTAGTACAAACTAATCTTATGTACCTATTTAAGTCTACTTTAAGCTTTAAATCAATAATCTTCAAAACTACTGAACTGAAGCTCATGTATTTTACATCATTATAAAGGGAATTGATAGACCTTTGAAATAAGGTATCACTCGACCCCCCTTTCCATTTAAGATTTTAGGGTTGGTGTCACCCCCGCCCAGGGGGCTGCACGTGTTAGAGTGATTTTTTGCCAAACTTGTGTCCCCCTCGAAAACAAAATCGACGGATCTGAGCGTTTTTCCAAAAAAAAAACTGAGCTGCCAGTAAATCCGTCTGTTTCGTTTTCGATGCGCCACCCTGTATATACAGGGTGACTTCGAAGTTGAGTCACTTATTTTAACAGTGAGTAGATCTGATCAAAAGAAATGTTTTTTTCCTTTAACATTTTTCTGGTAAAATTAAAGTAACAAAGTTATAGCCCTTTAGAAGTTTGAGTACCGCCCTGTCTCAATGATAATATTATGTGCTCGTGTTTGGCAACAACGGATATAATCCGCCTTATCCGTTCATCGCATCGGAAACAAAAAAGCGAAAGAATTTGAAATGCTGATCACGATGTTTTTATTCAGTCAATGTGTCAGTCGGTAACGCGTGAGTGAATAGTGGTGTTTGCTGCGTGGCTCAAACGAAATAAAAAATGGCACATGTTTATGCGGATCGGTTTCCCAATCGAGTGCAACCAACCCCTCGTGCCTTTGTTAATGTAGTACAACGGGCTCGTAAATCAGGTGACTTAAGACCTCACAGGGGAGGGCATGCCGGTGCTCCAAGACCTCACGATCAAATACAGGTCCGCACTGAAATACTTGTCGGGAGGATACTTTATAAAACAAGGTAACATTTTTTTTTTAATTTTTTTTTTATTTTTACACACATATTTTGGTTTATCTTCCTTCTACAATCATTATCTGAAAATTAATGACTCAACTTCAAAGTCACCCTGTATATATATACTTCGCAGTTGAGTCATTTATTTTAATAGTGAGTAGATCTGATCAAAAGAAATGTTTTTCTCCTTTAACATGTTTACACACATATTTTGGTTTATCTCCCTTCTACAATCATTATCTGAAAATTAATGACTCTACTCTACTATAAAGCCAGACTGGTTCGCCAGACGGTTCGCTTTGATATGCACGAGTACGCAGATCGAAAATATTTCTCTATCACTCAATTCAAGTCTTAAAGACAAATGGATGGGTAAATCTATGATGTGTGAAATATGGCTAATAGGTGCATAGAATTATCAGGGTTGGGAGTGTATAAATATACTAGGATCAAAAAGAAATTATATAGATAACCTCAAATTTCAACCCCTCCTATAAATTTCTTTCTGAAAATGGTCAAGTCCCTAAAACGCCAAAAAACGCAGTTATAAAATTAGCGAGCAGACCGACAGACAGACAGACCGACGGAGATGAGTGACATAGTTTGTCGTGATGTACATGCCATATAACAGCCAGAAAACATAATATATCGCTTCGAAATTTTTCGCAGTTTACAATACTTCCTCACGAGTTTGGCTTAATAAGTAAAAACAGCAAAATATTCTTCAGCAGAATCAGAGAAGTCCGATGGTGACGTCTGTGGAAAATGTTGTATTGACGATTCTTCTCCTGTAACTGTCAACAATTCTGGTTTCTATATAACTAGTGTAGTTTGAGTCGCGAAAATTTTGTTAAGAACTACAGATAAAACACTCCTTGTTGACACATCCTTTCTATTTTGGACATGAATTTCAAAATCATGTTTATAGTAACTTTCGGTGTTATTTTGTGCATATCGAAATAAAACAGTGCAAGGCGCCATCTATGTACAGAGTCGACCACTGCGTAGAGCGCATAGCTGCTTTTAGTGGAAACTGTTGGGGATCTCAGTTCACGTTTAATAGCCAAGTCACCACGTGGCGCTTTGCGCCGTCTTACTTCGATAACCGTACCTCCGGGATAGAAGAAAGTTGCGATGCTTTCGTTTGTAGTCCAGAGATGAGAGACGAAGCCTAGACCATGCTAGCGAGTAGTCAAGAAGCACGAAACTGCTGTCTTTTCATATCACCACTGCGGTTTGTGATCACCCTGTGTATCCTGATTAGCAAAAAAACAAAGTACCACTCAACGTAAAACCAAAGAGTAGTAATATAACGAAAAGTCAGAAAAGGCGAATAAAATAAGAAATGAATATGGCGTCCACAAAGCTGGTGATAGCGTCCGAAGACGGCTGCTCTGGTTTGGTCGGAAATAAATGCGTCGTTGCCAGATGGATAATCACTTTTGGATGAATTCATTGACTAGTGAATGCATCTTTTGTTCAAGCTTACTTTTGTTTGGACATCCATTTGCAACTTACGAAATATATTTTTCATTGAATAAATCGCAGTTTTCGCTATAGACGCTGTTCTCAAAACCTGTAAGTTATCACACAGCTATTTAACATTTAGGGCCCTACGATTATTTGACCAATCGTCGGTCTATTTGCGGTAGTCACGAGTTACCTAGATAGCCTGGCCTTACATCGATGTTTATTTATTTCGTATGACTTTTTGACGTAATCACCAAAAACCGTGAAAAGAGCTCAACTCCGTTCTTCTTAGAATGAGTGTAAGTGTTGCCTTTTACAAACATTTTATGACAGCTTGGCAACATCGCCTCGGTAACCAGTGGCGTTCCGCGGATAGATTTGAAAACCAGTAGTAACCCAAGAGGTCACCGCAAAGTTTTAGTTACATTGCGTACCGATCTGGTATGTAAAAACTAGTCAAATTTCGTGAGATGTGACAAATTTTTATCTGTAGCATATCAGTACGCAATGATGTAACAAAAAACTTACGATAGGTATGAGAAGCTTACATACCAGGATAAACTACGACAATGCTGTTAATGCTGTAAACACGACCCTCAAATTTGACGCCTGGAGTACCACTGGTGCTTTGACATGGTTGCCATGTTGGAGATTTTCCCCCAAATCAGAGGGATTTTTATTTGGGGAATTTTTTGGAGAAATCGCACGTGTCGCTGATAGAAAGCATTCCTCCGCTCTTTGTACCAAACCTACCCCTTTCTATCAATTAAATGTGCTTGGTTTTTTTTTGAAATTTTGTAAATCCGATTTTTGAACTGCCTAAGGCCCGTATCGTCAGTCGTCCCTAGAACTGTAGGGCGCGTTTATGGCCTCCTTGATTGTCATACTCCTTTCTCTCCTTCAAAAATTTCTAGATTACACTTGTCCCGTGTCAGCGTCAGCGCTCTCCTATTGTGAAGATATGTTTTCTTTTTAAATTGTAGGAAATTTCCGGCTTATAAAACATGATATAACTCAAAAGCACGCACAATTTGATGCAAATAGATGTTTGTGACATAACCTCAAAATAGAGCGCTGACACGGAGAAGTAGAAAACTATGACAATCAAGGAGGCCATAAAGGCGCCCTACAATTGTAGGGACGACTGACGATACGGGCCTAAGGTTAGCTTCCTCTTGAAGATTGTTCGACACCTTTGGGATAAAGGAGCGGTCGCATCGACCAATTCTGGATGTACGAAGTTGAACACGGTTAGGATGGGAGGCCAAAGTCAGGCGGGTCTGTCTAGCAGGCACAACGTGTGGACGCATCACGGAGGAGAGCTCTGAGGAGCAAAGCCCGTTGGTGTAGCGGTAGAAGAGAGCTAGAATCGCCGATGGCGCGCCGGTGCGAAAGGGTCCCGAGACTGTCTGTTAGAGAGTCATCGCTCAGTCGGGCAGCCTTCCTCTGAACAGCATCGAGCATAAGTAATGCACTCGAGGCAGTAGCACGCCCAACTTGTAAGCAAAACTCGAGGCTAGGTCTTATCTGGGCCTTGTAGTGAGTGAGGAGGTCACGCGGAGAAAAGTACTTCTTAGCCCTAAACAAATAATATTTTCTTCTGCTGGCGAGCAGTGTCGCACGATTTGTTGAACTATCCCTAGGACTCCGGTTTAGGCACTTTCACAGGTATGAGGGATGTATTCCACAGCATGGACAATTTCGGTTGTCGATCAACAGTCAGCCGACACGTCCACGTCAGCGAAACAAACATCTCTCCAAGGAAAGGTAGAGAAGAAGTCTCTGAGCCCCTCCCAGTCGGCATGTCCGTAATGTCAAACTTTACGGCCTGGGCAAGTTGCTGCCACAGCGGGTTCTGACCGAAACCTAACCTCCACAATACCGTGGTCTGAGTTACCTATGGGAGACAGGACAGCAGTGCTGTACAGCACAGGATACGTGGTAAGGAAGAGATTTAGCAGGATACTGGCACGTGACGAAAGGCGGGGGAAAAGTAGGGCTCGTCACCAGCTGGGTCAGCCCTTGTGTAATAACGAACGACCTGCTGCATTGGTCTTGTTTGAGCTCATTATGGCCATTGAAAACACAAGTAAGTCATCCTAGTTATGGTCCGAGGGAAAGTGATAAAGTCAGCAAATAAATTTGGGGGATGTTTTGGAGCTGAGGCGAAGCCACAGAATATTCTACTGGTCTGATTCCAAAGAAACTTCTCTGGAGAAGGAAAGACTGCTGCGGACAAGAGCCACAACTCCCCTGTTCTTTCTCGAATTGGAGTGCACCTCGTAATTTGGTAAACTAATATGATGAATCTGTACAGACTCTGAGATTTTTGTCTCCGCCAAGAAAAGCATGGCGGTACGATTGGATTGCAGGTAGTATTGAACAGCATCAATGTTGATGTTAACCCGCAGATGTTCGTAAAACAAATTTTATCATCGATGTTGGCGGACTGTTGGCGGTGTTATTTCGCGTGTACCCTGTACAATCACTTGACCGGGAAGAAGTTGTCTACTGAATACAACTTCTGGAACAAGCAAGTAGGGTTCGAAAATATATGTGGCTATTCAGATTGGGAAAACTGAAGCACTAGAAACCCCTTCACATAGTTTCTACCGAACGCCATTGATAAATTTTCGGCGCTTCAGGTCGTTAGCTAGTTATAAATTTATCACTTGATCGTGCACTCCACACGTTCCACCGAAGGCAAGGCGCTGAATCAAAACATCGTGGCTTCGTAGGCGTCCACAACAGTGCTCTCATCGTACCTGTTATCTATCGTATCAATCCGTTGATAGCCTAGCTATCTGTGCTCACACCTATGTAGGTACTTACCTGGCCGCATAACACAACATAAAAATCTCATATGAGCACGCATTCTTATCGCTCGAACATGCCAGTCGATTTGCTGCGGACGATTTTCTTTTCCTCGGCGTACTACTAATATTTTTGGTTGTATATTTAGATTAATAACAGTGTTCGGTAGTCGGTGGCCGAGAGTTAGAAAGTGCACAGTGAAAAATGGAACCACATCCGTCATTTGTTGTTTTGATGCTCTTGTATCTTTCACCTGTAGCTCAAGCTGTAAGTTTCTTATTTTTTATTATGTTGTATAGTTTTAGCGTATCTACGTGACTAGGAATTTTTTCTGCAATCAGTACCGTTGTCGATTTTGCCATGTAACAGTTAAACCGGCTTCTGTCTATCACTAATCAAAAAATGTTACCTTTTGTGTTCAGGTATACGACCTCAGACGATCTGTTATATCATCCTAGATATTACAGCACTCCTCATATAATCTTCGATTAAAGAATATGAGAGTGATAATATTGTTACACTCTTAACTTAGACATACCAGTACTGTTTTGCTGACGATTGACTTTTCGAAAGCATTCGATACAGTTAACAATAAACTAATGTTGAGGAAGCTGGAGTATACTGCCCTTTTAATCTTTTAAATATGCCTCCACAGCTTTTCGAATACTATTTAAATAACAGAAAGCAGGCAGTTGAGACAGCTGCAGGTGTCTGATCTACTACGATAGTTTCATCAGGGATTCCACAGGGCTATGTTCTGTGCCCTCTGCTGTATTTGATATACACAACTGATTTGCATTCATGCGTTGGATTCTGTTCGACACAATTTTATGATGATGAGATGCAACGGACATATTATTTTGATTTATCTCAGTTACATGAAATGTCTTTTAAAGTTAACTACCGCAGATTATTGTAAAAGGCACTGTATCCGGATCAATCCTGATGAAAGTGAGAGTATGTTTTTTCTCAGAAACATGTATATAATAGTATTAATGATAACGTTGTTCTAATAATAAACGATAGTACATTCCCTTAGTGGAACACTCAAAAAACTTATTTTAGATTTTTACCTGAAATTTGATAAGCAAGCACAGTAGTCACTTGTCTCAAAAAACTTATGCCAGTTTGGAGCTAATTTTGCCTAATAGATACATCCATCGTATACTATAAGACTAGGAAAAATTTAGTTGAAAGCTTGTCCTCTCGTTAATACTATTTTGTCCTTACTTAGATTTGTCGGATTGATATAGAATGTAGAAAATTCAATACAACTGCTGGACATTCGTGTTTTGTGCCAGCAAGATAATAAAAGATTATAGAAAATCTTGCAGTTTTTGTCCACCATAAGCATATTTATAAATATACATCGATTACTCAGAAACACAATTTTCAAGTTCAGTACCAATGACTGACAAATTAACGCAGTTCAGAATACCTGCTATAGGGTACTCACTGAATGTTCAGTAAATATTCAACTACAGTTAGTACACTACGCATACATGGACTTCCTCGTGATCGCCGGCATTTTTGTCAATCACGTCCTCTCTTTTTGTATGATTATACAGGGTGACTTCGAAGTTGAGTCATTTATTTTAACAGTGAGTAGATCTGATCAAAAGAAATGTTTTTTTGGAAGTTTGAGTACCGCCCTGTCTCAATAATAATATCATGTGCTCGTGTTTGGCAACAACGGATATAATCCGCCTTACCGGTTCATCGCATCGGAAACAAAACAGCGAAAGAATTTGGAATGATGTTTTTACAATAAATTATTTTATTCAGTTCAGTTATACATACAGTCAGTGTCAGTCGGTTAGCGTGTGAATAGTGTCTGTTGCGTGGCTCAAACGAAATAAAAAATGGCACATGTTTATGCGGATCGGTTTCCCAATCGAGTGCAACCAACCCCTCGTGCCTTTGTTAATGTAGTACAACGGGCTCGTGAATCAGGTGACTTAAGACCTCACAGGGGACCTCACGATCAAATACAGGTCCGCATTGAAATACTTGTCGGGAGGATACTTTATAAAACAAGGTAAAAAAAATTTTTAATTTTTTTTTTATTTTTACACACATATTCTGGTTTATCTTCCTTCTACAATCATTATCTGAAAATTAATGACTCAACTTCAAAGTCACCCTGTATATGGGCAAGATTCAATTTCTCAATTTGTTAAATAGCTTAACTACTAAAAAAATAAACACACCTCATCATTTTTTAATGAGATGTTGATAACACCTCATTATAATGGGAAATATTTTAATTCACTACGATTTTCATTACAAAATTAAGATAGAGGTATGGCTATTATCTGTATCTTCATTGAGGACTACCTACTGGTTGAATATAATGTGGCACTGCGAGAGAGAAATTCTTGAATAACTACTACACTACAGGTTGAATAGATTGAACTCTTAGCTCAGTTCAAGGTTGTGATCAGTTAATATCGACTGGATCAAATAATAAAGCTTCGAAGGATTTTTTTTTCACATGAAGTTCTATTCTATGACACAATCGATAGTTTTTTTGTTTTTCCAAAGATGTTCCTTTTCGGAACAATGATATTACGTTTGCGTGGCCTCGGTTGAAAGATTATACCTAATCCTATTTATTTTTGTATTGTTCTACTGGCAGTGATTATCCAACACGCAATTATTTTTATCGCATTCTGTCATTTCCTTTCTATTTATATTAATCGGCAATAACTATAGCTTTACATTTAAATTTTGTACATTGTATCTGGTCGGCTAATCCCAAAAATGCATATCTACATATACAGTAATTGACAAAAGTATATCGACAAATATGAATATTTACCTAAATACCTTTAGAAAACGAATTCATACTTCATTGCTCCATAAACAAATGCGTTATTAGTAGAAAAACTAAATGCCTTGTTTTTACATTAACTACAATGAACACAATACAATTCTGAATATTAGCACTTTTTCATGAGGGGCAAAATATGTAGACATTCTTTTCAACATTAGTTTAGTACAGTTTCGTGTCAGAAGAGGATTAGTTTGTGTTCATCAAGTATTGTGGAATAGGTTGAGTGATTTTAAGACCATGCCGCGTGGTCCAGAAATTTCTTTCGATGTGAAAACTAAGATCATTGAGTTATACAAAGATGGTCAACGTCAAGTCGACATTGCCAAAAATTTGAAGCTGAAGCGTAAAACAGTTTGGGCAATATTGAACAAATATAAACAAAAAGGTATCTTGGAAGCCTCTGAGAGAAGTGGTCGCCTAGGAAAATAGATGCTAGGTCAGTTAGATTAATAAAAGTAATTTCGTCCAAAGATCCGTTTAAAACCCCAAGACAAATAAAAGCCAAAATCGAGACAAAAGGAATTGCTACGGAAACTATAAGTAGAAGATTAAATGATTTGAAGTTATTGGCACGTCGCCCGTAAGGACCGATTACAATTTGCACGGTTGCATCTTGATTGGAGCATCTGTGATTGGAAGAGGGTATGTTTCAGTGACGAATCCAAGTTCAAAATGTTTTGATCATTCGGTGTTCATTACGTTAGACGCCCTAGTGGACAAAGATTGAGCCCCAAGTACACTTTGCCCACTGTCAAACATGGAGGCGGGTCTGCTATGGTTCGGGGGTGCTTTTCGGGGTTTGGGATGGGACCTTTACATAGAATAGATAGCATTATGGATAAGTTTGTATACACAGACATACTAAAGCATGTCATGTTACCCTATAAGGAAGGCAATATGCCTTTAAGATCAAATTGTTTCTGGATGAAAAAATTACCAGTTCTCAAATGGCCTTCACAGTCTCCCGATATAAACCCCATTTAAAATCTATGGGAATACTTAGATAAGCAAATACGAGATAAAAATTATTCAAACAAGGATGAACTTTTTGCCGCTTTAGAGCAAAAGTGGAGACAGATTGTTGAATCTTATATCAAGAAACTTCTACAATGTATGCCGAGACAATGCCAGGCGGTGATTCATAATAATGGTTATGCTACAAAATATTCACACAAACAAGGTTGGTTTTCTATAATTCAATGAACTTTTCTTCTTTTTTCTATAATTGTTTTGCTTTATCTATATATTTTTGTCTTTCATAGTTCCAGTTTGTTCAATTAATTTTTTATTGTAGGGGAGAATTTATTTATTTAATATTAATTTGTCTATATACTTTCGTCCATTAGTGAATGTATCGAGATAATATAGTTCAATCAACCAAGGATTTCAGATGACCCAGTTTTTGAGGTACATTTACTAGTGATACACTGTTCAGCTCACGTAGTCTTTTGTTCCACAATCTGTCTTTACGATTTTATAAGCTGTCAAATAATCATTTCAATTATCCGATAAAGGCTTACGTTATATATATATCCTGATCTTTCAATGCATCAGGGTATCGGTATCGCATATGAATGAAATTCAACATTCCAAATTAAAACACTTCTTACCTATACGTCCGACTAATAATGAGGTTATAAATGTTAGCGATAACGCTCATTTATTGGGATGCATGGAAGACATCTGCGTTGTTGATGTTCCAGCAAGTGCTTAGATATATACAATGGTAAGGGAAACGAGCTCTTGGAGCAGTGTGGAACACTTTCTGTACCACATCCTAACACTGAATACTTGGTATATCAGTACGTCAGCGTCTATTTCATATAGATATATTTCATAAGATAATGGTGTGTCTAATAACATGGATTGTTCGCGTATTTTACTTCCCTCGCCCACTGGCGAGGAAGCATTGCAATCGATAAAAAATTCAAAAATTAAATATTATGTTTTTTTGGATCTTATGACATGTACATCACGAAAAACTACGTTACTCATTTCCATCAGTCTGTCTGTCCATCGGTCTGTACGCTATTGATTAGCCACTCTATAGCTTGGAAAGTACTGCTCGGATTCGAATGAACTTTTCACATGAGGTTACGACTATGCCAAGGTTGAAAAAGCTTTGAAAATCGGTTAAGTAGCTGTAGAGAAAAAGATAAAAAACAAAATAATTAAAATCGCTGAAACTTCGTTTCAAGAGATCCTGATCATTTTTGAGAAAATTTTCAGAGGTAAAAAAATTGTACTTGTACTTTATACGCTCTCAATCTCGGTGATTCTACGCTCGTATTAGACATATAATTTGCCCATAAAACTTGATAAACGTTTTCGATACGCGTCTGCCTCTCCTCCCGTCGGCATACCGCTCTTGGTGACTGTTCTGGTATTACTGCCGCGTCTAACCCGGTTAGGTATCCGGGAGAGGTAAGGCTGTCAGATTTGCTACCGATAGGGCACGGAAATAATATCTAATTGGATGGACCTGTTAGTCTGACTTGATCCATTAAATTTGAACATAATCGTTTATTAACTGATGACGGCGTGGCGTGGGAAGCGCAGATTCAAACTACTTGACGCCATTTTTTCGGTCTGTAATACACCTCCATCAGTACTAATTGAGTATTATTGACCCTGCTAATAGCGTTAAGTTAGTCAGACGAGGCTGGGTAAATAATTGCTCATATAATATTCAGTGCCTTCCATTTAAGTACATATTATGATTTACTATCTTGAGAACGATTATTAGCTGATGAGAAATGGATTTGTTCATAAATATTATTTTATCCGAAAAAATTAGGGCTAAACACACGATAATATTTCAATTAATAAATGAACCGTTTGTTATCTCCTCAAAGTTCCATGCAGTTATTTAAATTACATATCAGGAATTCGATCATTATAGAAAGCTATTTACAGATGATTCATCTGGTCACAATTCATGACTGTGGCGATAATTTAATGATCCATTTCAGAGTACCATTCAATTACCTCATAATACGAGTATAATGAATTAAATAAATGTGCATACAGGATCGTCTGAGAATCCATTGAAGTCCCGTATTTGACGTGTACGAGCGAGATAGGAAGAGAAACACGTATTTAAAGGTTTGTTTATAATAAACTATAACGTTACGCACCACTGCCAATACGTTGCCGTAACTTGACGTTAAACTGTTTATAAACAGGAATTCCGCAACGTTCGTCCACAACGCTGATGCTAGCCTGACGAACTTTCTGCCGCTGCCGTTCCCGATTGAACCAATGAAAGGGGAGCCTGCAAGTTACGCGTTTGTTGCGACAGATCAGCTGGTTTTTCCGCGTGCTTTTCGCTCTGTTTGACATAGACATATGCTATGTTTTGCTTTTGTAATCGGCGTAGTTTCCTTTGAAACTGCTATATTTTATTGAACCTTACAAATATATACATATCTGTTCAAACAGCCAAAATGTTTCATTTTATTGCAAAATCATTTATTTCAGAAAAAAATCGTATAGTTTGATGGTGATGATGACAAAACAGTTGGTTTTAGTTGCAGTTACAAATCGTAGTAATGTATAATTTTTTTTTATATTCCAACTACCACGAAGGCCTAAGGCCTAAGCACCCATTGGGTACCGTGGGGCTATAGGGGGATACATGGGAAAGGGGGGACGCCACACGGACTCTGGCGAGGGAACACGTGTGCATGCAACATGCACACATTCTGGCTCCGCCTACGAGAACCGCCGGGTGGTACCTCCGCGTTCGACAGTCAGAGACCATCTACCACCTACGGACAATCACAACATCCATAGCCAAGAGAAAAATTTCTCCTGGGACGGGACTCGAACCCGCACAGCGCACGGCGACTGATCAGGAGACCGAAGAGTCTACTACTGCGGCCACCGCTGCTGCCTAAATATAAATAAGAAGAAAAAGCTGTATGTCAAGGTTAACAATAGAAGTATAAACTACGGCTACCCTATGCTATTCCACTAGTGTACGCGTATACCAATGCTTAAACACAAGTAGAAAAGTAAATAAATTCTGAAATACAATGTATGTAGGTGTCTGTTATAAGTCATATTCATGTGTCAACTTATCTGAAATAGATGTGATACTTCATCTCAGGGTAAATTATAATTTTGCAATCGAATTAAACCTTGGCAACGAATTCATACCAGGTAGAAGGAACATGCCTTCGGTTTGTTTGTCTCAAAAATTTCAGTCTGTAGTCAAAATGAATGTTCATACCACAAGTGAACTTAACATAAGTTAATTTTTGGCAGTTCTCTCATAAAATTCGTATTTTTGGTGTTCAGCTTTCTAACCGGGTCCATTGAAAAAATAAGTGCAAGTACTGTATAATGCATATACACTGAAAACCAAATTTGTCTGACAGCTTGAGTTCAATGTGTACAAGAGAGAAGTGTGTGTAGACACATATGTTAGAAAGAGATAGAAGCCAGCTGGATACCGAAGCTCATCACCGCGTTGTCTAATGTGCCGGGTTGCCAATACGTCACACCAGCTCATTGAATTAAGATGCATGCTGAAAATATGCCTTAATTTATTCTCTATGCCCAAATAATGGTTTTATTTTGATCGTACACATTTTTGAGTTATGAATGGTGTCGAACCTGTTTCGTAACGATTCCGGATCTGTCCTAACGGCGCTTTTTTTAGGCTGAAATAAAAGGTCGGGATCGCCACAAATTCTGCAACATTGCATCACTGGTTCGCTTGGCAACACCGCATCTCGTACATTCCAAGGCAAGGTTTCCACCTCCGTGATCATAGATGAGCGATTTTGGTCAGTTCCCATCTAGTACCCATTAGAGAGTGTCATCCTGCTTCGAAATGGTTTTATTACATTTTCCGACCGGTCGCTGTCGCAAAATATAACAATAACTGTGTTGATTTTATTACCATCGATGGAAATCAAGGATAATTCTATAGTAAATTAAACTCGCATCAAAATACATAATTCTAATCTAAATGAAAACAAAATATTAAACCAAATGTTCGAACCCCCTTGGGTTTGACAGTAACCTAACTAGAAGCCTGTGCGAACATTTTCTGACGTAACATATTGGCAACGCGGCAGATTGCACAACCTTCTGCGTCACGTTGCTAGGCAATGCGATAATGACTTTCGTTCTTCAGCCGGCGTCCATCTCTTTCTAACATGTGTTGATACACACTTCTCGCGCTTCTCTCTCGTACAGATTGAACTCAAGCCGCAAGACCAATTTGGGTTTCCCTGTATGTAGTATAATATAACATTGTGACGTTGATATAAAATAGACTTCACACTTTTTTGTTACAGGTCGAAACAGCTCTAGAAATTCCGAAATGTTGTGAAGAAGGGAGTTATTTTGTAGGAAACAAATGTACTTTGGTTGACGAAGATGTGGACTACTCGTATTATGTTTACGAGAGTAATGCAACACACATAGAAAGTACCTCTAGAAGAATGTCAGGTCTAGCTGTCAGATATTCCAATTTTACGTGCCAAACACCATTGATCAGGTAGGATTATTGTTTATGCAGACGTGTATTGCACCACTTGCGAACATTCCCTTATTTCAACAACCTGTATGGAGGAGTATTCTTAATACTTTTCATCTGACGGTTTCATGGTATGTAGAGAGATGACTGAGAAACAACGTTATCGATTTCTTTATTGTCAAGATATGAATTTTTTGTGCATTTTCGTAACTTTTGTTAACAAATAACAGTACAGCTCTGAAATTGTGTACTTTTCTCTTATTACTTTTTTCGTCAAAAAATCTTTGCTTTTCTTAAAAACTCAATTTTCTGCAAAATCTATTGCTTTTGATGGTAACTTGGCAAACGTAGAGATGGATTTTTTCTGAGAAGGACAAACGATAGAACGTGAAACTTCGTCGAAGTAAAGGTAGTAAAAAGTGTTTTGTGATTCTCCAAGGCTGTACCCGAATTACGTTTTTTTTTTAAATTCTATTAGTTCGATTCGTAAATCAAATGGGTCATGTATTCGCTTTATTTTAAAAATCATTTAAAAAAAATGAAAAATATACCAATGGGAACTGGCAATAGAATCTGTGACAAAAATCGCAATTTCAAGGCCTCCATGTCCAAAAAGTTTTTTGTAGCTACAATATTTATGTGAAATATGATATTCATTTGAAATATGATATCACTGGTTACAGTTTTTTCCGAGCATCTTGTGTATAAGAAAAGTATTACTCTCGATTTTCAGCAAGAAATAAATTTTCTCTCATTTATTTCGATCGCAGTATACATGGTGTAATATAAATAGTATTCTGAAAGCATCGCATTAAATCTTGTTCCTACTGGACACAAAATGCTTTTACGGTACAATTATTTACTTTGTTAATGAGATTTTGGGGAATTTGTGAAATTGATTTTACAATGAATTTTACTGAAGGTGTTTCCCGTATCTTACGTAACGTAAGATAAGATAGTCCCGAACAGATAAGTTACTCATCTAAGAAGTATTTACAAAAGTAATAGACACGACAGAAACTGATTGATAGCTTTATTTCATGGTACCATGTACTCACACGAGATGGTTATCTCTGTTAGTGCATGGAAATTTGGTAGACTATAGGATAACTCGGGTTTCTAAATAAAGTGACCAGCCCAAGCTTAGCTGATTGCTGTGACCCTATAAGCAATCCTATCGGGTATACCCCAAACGTTTATATGGCCAGCTAAGGCCTGACCATCTCGCCTTAACTCCGCTATTCACAGTTTTTTTTCCTCCAGGATGAACACCAGAGTTCATTAGCTTAGTTGCGATCTAGTAATCTAAACTTTACCATTACCACCATCACCACAAGGATGTGGTTTAGACACAAGAAAATTTACAGAGGTTCAAATATTGATAGTAGCGTTATTTTTTATAAAAAAAAGCTTGCCTATAAGCCACATCTCACAAGATTGATCTTATATTACGATTATATAAGCTATCTACTTTCTAATTTTATTCTAGCTGTATGATTTGAAAACTTTCTGGACTCACATACAGAAGCCATTGGTACAAGAGAACATGAAAAATAATTTTCTCTTTACAGAGGTTTCTGATAACATACTTCGTGTAGTCTTAGCAAATAAAATGATTTCAAAATATCATCTGGATCAATTTATTCAAATGATAAAAGTGGTTTTATGCGTCGACTTATATTTACGGATGAGACCGGTATGACCCTAAATTGCGACATTTAAATTGCAGAGTGGACTGTACCCGGTCGTTTTTGCTCCAAAGCAAGCAAAGCTGTCGACATCGCATGAAAAAGCAGTCACCCCAATATAAGAGCAGAGTATTATTGAAATCGTTTTCCTCGGGACAATGCATCTTTGTGCAAGGAAACACTATAAAATGGCAAAAAACAATTAATTTCGTTTCGAGTTGCTTGAAAACCCACCCTTTTCACCGGATTTTGCACACTACAAGTTTCATTTGCCCAGAGAATCACTTCAGGGAACGTATAAATCAAGTACTTAGGCCCGTATCGTCAGTCGACCCTACAATTGTAGGGCGCGTTTATGGCCTCCTTGATTGTCATACTCCTTTCTCTCCTTCAAAAATTTCTAGATTACCCTTGTCCCGTGTCAGCGTCAGCGCTCTCCTATTGTGAAGATTTGTTTTCCTTTTAAATTGTAGGAAATTTCAGGCTGATTAAACATGATATATCACAATTTGATGCAAATTGATGTTTGTGACATAACCTCAAAATAGAGCGCTGGCACGGAGAAGTAGAAAACTATGACAATCAAGGAGGCCATAAAGGCGCCCTACAATTGTAGGGACGACTGACGATATACCTTAGAAAGCCGCTATAAAAATGTATTGAACCTAAGGGAGATTTATTCCTTCTTCCCTACTAATATTATAAATGTGAAAGTGTGTACTATATGTATCTTTGTATGTTCCGTTTCACGATAAACGGCTAAACCGAGTTGTTCAATTTTGGCACATATATATATATATTAGACCTTGGTCATAGGTAATTTGTTGTGAAAATTAGGCTTGAAGGGATTGAAATAGGAGGTAAAAGCTACTATCGGACAATTATCATTTTTAAAGCTAGATACACAGATATGGGTTTCCTATGCTTGGTTCCTTGATACAATGAAATTTACCAAAAAAATCTAAATTCCACCCCTAATGGGGTAAAAATTTTCAAGTTTTTGTAGATGATTTAGAATATTTCAAATTAATCCAGCCTGAAGGTAGGAGCATGTTTTGTCTTCAATAATTTTATCTTTAACGGATATACTGTTGGACCAGCGAAAGATTGCAAGCCGAAAGAATGCGGACAAAAAATTGCGAAGTTGTCAGATGTTCTACATAAAATGCGGTCCATACATATTAACATATTTAAGATATAGAATTGTTCCGCTGAATTTGGCAATGTAGCTGGAAAACCCAGGCCGCAGGTAAACATCCGGTCGCTGATTGGTCCAAAACTCTTATCTTATCTGAAACTAGAATAACGTGCCGATGGCACGGTCATTTATAAACCTACTCCCATAGGCGTAGGCAGTTGGCAAATACTTTGAAAATATAATTTACTGTTTAGTGGTGATAATGGAATTCAAGCATGGGAAAGTTATTCACAGCCAGGCAAGGGAAATAATAGCAAACGTGATACGTGCTTGCGATGCAGAAGCGGCTAACAATACTTTCGTTTATCCACTGGTAGCTAGAAATGCAAGGGCGGCATATTATACGGGTGTTAGTGAACGAACTATAAGTAAAATTAGAAAAGAAGATAAAGACAGGCAAAATGCAACCTCCACACAGCCTTTAGCTTCTCCCGGAAAAAAGAGATCACGCCCTTCTGTGATCCAAAAAATTGATGGAGTCGATTTTTCCATTATTCGGAGAATGATAGAAAAATTTTACTGTGATTTTAAAGTGGTACCTACTTGTAGTAAACTTCTAATCAAACTGAAGGAAGAAATGGAATTTCCATTTGGTAAAGAATCGTTGAGGCTGCTTTTAAAAGCAAAAGGATTTTACTGGCGTAAATGCCACAACAAAAGGAAATTACTAATGGAAAGACCCAGTATTTTACATTGGCGATACAAGTATCTTAGGTCTATTAAAAAGTTCCGGGAAGAAGGAAGGCATATTATTTATTTGGACGAAACTTGGGTTGATAATGACCTCACTTTCAAGAAATGCTGGCAAAGCGAAGAAATTATGGGTGTCCTGAGCAATATAAGTTCTACAGGTAATAAAGTTTCTTTCACCTCGATTTTGCTTATTATACATTTTTCTCAATTTTGGAATATTCTTAATAAGTGCTCATTTAATTTGTCTAATTGAATACATAATCCCTTGCAAGTATTTTTTTCTCAAAAATATGTTTTTTATACATAGTGATTCAAAAAGGTGTTGGCAAACTTAAAATAACACTAAAATGAGGCTATTTATTCATTTCCAGGACGACTTATAATTGTTCATGCGGGTTCGCAAGATGGTTTTGTTCCTGGAGCCTGTCTCATTTTCAAGGCTGGCTGTGCCACTGGTGATTATCACGGTCAAATGAACCAAGAAAATTTCACGAAGTGGCTTACTGAAAAACTATTTCCTAACATTCCTCCTAATAGTATTATAATAATGGATAATGCACCTTACCATTCAGCTTTGGAAGACAAGCCTCCAACTAGATCTTCTCTAAAAAGAGACATCATCACGTGGTTGAGCAAAAAAGGTATAGAGCATGATCCTAATGCTAAAAAAATGGAGCTTTATGAAATAGCTTGTCTACATAGGCCACCATCTGATGAGAAAAATTATAAGATAGATAATTTAATAAGAAGTTTCGGACACACCCCACTTCGAACGCCACCCTATATGTGTCAGTTTAATCCCATAGAGATGATTTGGGCACAAGTAAAATTTTTCATTAGAAGCCATAATACAAGCGGCGAATTTACTATAAAAAAACTAGATGAAATTTCTAATAAGGCCATCGCTTCAGTAAGTGCCAGTGACTGGCAAAAGGTTATTGGACATGTTATAAAAATTGAAGATGAATATTGGGAAAAAGACAGTCTCATTCAAGAAATACAGGAAGAAATAATAATCAACATAGGAGGTGAAAGTGATAGCAATGACAGTTCCTCAGACAGTGATCATGACTCTAATCAGGATTGAAACTATACTAGATTGGCTACCTTTTAGAATTTTTAGATATTCATTTATTATACTATTGGTTTGTGGCTTTTAGTATCTCAGTAGAAAGTCTAATTCTATGTGTTGTTTATGGGTTATTTCATCAAGAAATTACTTTTTGTTTTCCTATATTTTTCTATTCAGTCAGATATTTTTGACTTGTTGTATTCTATTTTAGAAGAATGCATAATTTGTTTTGCTGTTCAATCATAATGCGTACATAGGAATATTACTTGTTGCCTAAAAAATATATTTATTTTGTTCTCAATATTCAGTGTTTGTGTATATTTATTTCTTATAATGTATGTTTGGTATCACGTCATTATGAATCGCAAAAAAATATTAATACTACCAGTTGTAATAAAATATAAATTCAATTAATAATTCAAGTCTCTCCGATCTCCGCCTATGACTCCATATAAAATCGTCTAATGGTAAGGTTTTTTCATCGCATTTCCCCCTTTCGTCCCTAGCAATCTTTGGCTGGTCGATCTATACTTGTATGTAAGAGCAAAAAGATACACATTAATCACGAAATCTCAGTATCTATTTGACCTACAAACAAGAATTTTGCCAGGGAGGTAGTTTATATTCAATTCAATTCAATTCAATGGACTTTATTGTAACACATACATAATTATGTATCCTTACAAATGGCGAAGTCTGGCCAATGGCCATTTATACTTAACCATAAATGTCATGTCAATGCTTATTACTACCTTAAAAATAAAATAAAAAACTGAAAAAGAAAAGGAAAAAGAAGAATAATAGTAAAAGAAGAATTAATAAATATGACATAATGCCTACGATTAGAACAAAAAACATAATACGTACGATTCAAAGAGAAGACAATAACCTAAGAGCTCAATAAGTAGTTCTTATATTTTTTTTTTTCAGAAAAATTGCTGATGAAACATTGTTCGAAAGAGTTGATCAATTTCACCGCATCATACGTAAAAGACCGTTGAAAAATGGCTGTCCTATGTTGTGGCATTGTCAGGAGATTAATGTTGCGCGTATTCAAATTGTGAATTAAATTCCTATGAACAAGCTTTTGCATAAGATAAACCGGAACAGAAGTTTTTAATATTTTTACGACAAATGTAACAAAGTTGTATTTGAAAAGATAAGAAATTTTCAACCAATTCATTGAGTTATAGACAGGCCATTTCAGCTAAGGACGAATTTTGTGGCCAGACCAGATTGAGGGATTCAACGGCACTTGCCAGTTTATTTGAAATTGCCTGGAGCTTCTAAAAATTGTATATTAGCCGTGACAGGGTCGTTTACATCCGTTAACATAAGATAGACGTCGCGTGGTACATGAGATCTCGGACCATAATGAGGTTCAGATTTTTTTTAACATCTAAGAATTCATAGCGATATCATAAATACCAACAAACACATTGGGTTGTAACAAAAGTATTTTTACAAGTATAATGTTTGCATCGACAATTACTAACTTAACCTTTTGTAGAGTAGCACTGACCGACGAGGATATCATTGGAATCATCTACAACTCCACAGCACTGTGTATAAGATGCTGCGACAACCACATCATGTATTTGTCTCCAGATAGGTACTGCATGGAGTACAAAAGAACAAATAGCAATGAAACTAAAACGGTTTTCCTTTATTGCTACCAAGAATTACCAAATGTAGCTATAACAGTGGGACCCAAATTATATATAATATGTGAGTTAGTATTCATAATAATAAAGATTTTCCTTGACCTGAATGCTACGAAGGAAGACAAGTCAAGAGTTCTGTATAAATCGATTATTATTGGCTTTATATACGCCCATACGCATACAGAAGTGTTATACGTCAATTTTGTATTGAAATCATCGTTCTGACAATGAGTCTGAGGTAGCCCTGGACCGTTTTTATAGTAGATCAGTTCGATCTAGCAAAACGTATAAGGTTAACTTGGAAGGCCTCTAAGCTCAATAGGTCAATTTTTGGAACAAGGGGGATTCACTGAGAGAAAGTTGACGTAGTTCTACTACCACTGATACAGGAGTCGTTCCACAGGTCATTCTCAGGAAAAAAAAAGTGCGGAGGTTTCGCCGTCGTCCATTTGTCTCATCTCTAAAGACGAAGTTCGTTTCACATAGCTTGGCAGCCAAATATTCTTTGATAGAATTAACCTGTTATTATAATCGCAAAGTATTTTAAATCAGACTACTCCTACTATAGTTCATACTTTATGTTTATTTTTGAAACAACAAAAACCTAACTGATAGATACTTATTTTACCTTACAGTCCTATTCATCTCGACTGTTTGCTTCTTTGCTAGTGCCTTAATATACTATTTGATATTGGGTGCGGATGATAACAAAAAGGAACCTAGGAAGGTACACAAGAAATGTTTTTTAGGCTACGCACTCTCTATGGGAACTACATTCCTTTTTTTGATTGTTCTCCAGAAAGTTAATTACATATGCAGCGTCATAGGTAAGATAATCTATGTATATTCTACCTGAATTAATGAAAAGTTATTCGTAGCATAGAGGGTATATATGTGTTCTAATTTGAATAACTAAGGGCTACTTACTAATATAGATTAGCAGGGATCACTACTTAGGCTATTCCTTTTGTAACATACGAGGTGTGTCAGAAAATAACGGACATTTTTAAATTTTACCTGTTTGGAGACTGATTGTCATTGTTTTATTATGTTGGTATACACCTACATGCCCCTGAAGAAAGATAACATTTTCAGCTGTATTCATTGTATAATTTATTTGTGACAGTCGCTAAGGTTACACGTGTCTTTATGAGCTCGGCGATTTTCGTTTGCTAGAAAAAATGGATTAAATTTTGCGTAAAAAATGAAATGAAGTATAACAAAGTGTGTAGAATGTTAACAAAGGCCTACGGTGAGTTTGCTATGAGTAAAACAAGAGTTTACGAGTGGTATAAGCATTTCCAGTATGGCCGTGAAGACGCTATATAAAATGATTATTAGACCAGCCGTTACTTATGCATGTGCGGCTTGGTGTTTTCTTGCCAAGACACACATGCAAAGTCTTCAAGTACTGCAACGCTCCATGGTATGTCTCAAACGAGACACTACACAGAGACCTTGACATTCCTTACTTGAGGGATTATGTCAAGTTTCAGGCGCAGCGACGTTATAGTCAAGCGGAATCGCATAGCAACCCTCTGTTGCGCGACAGTGGACTATACAGTGGAGCAAGTTCGAAACATTCAAGGCCACGGCTCGCACTGTAATAAAAAATTAGCGCGAACTTTTAGTAAACTTAAAATTACACTCTAACAAAACCGAATCAAAATTTGTTTAGTTCACCTCAAAATTAATCCGTGTACCAAGTGAAAAAGCCTAGGTGTTTCCTCTTAAACTAAACACTTCTGTTTTTCTTTGCTCTTCTCCTTTTTTTCTTCTCTTTCCCTTCCTCCTTTTCCTTGACATTGGTTTCTACGGACCGCCCAGACAAACAAATGACGAATAGTAGAAATGGTTATGACCGATCGCCGAAACGTCAGTTGCTGATGATGTTAGCATATCGATCGGTTCATGCTATCAAATTTTTGCGGATATTTTGGGCCTGAAATTTGTTCAAAAATATTTGAATTTTGAACCAAAACAGCGGCGAATAGAAGTTGCTCAGGAGTCACTAAAAGAAGTGAACGACGATAAGAATAACTGAAACGTATTATAACAGGTAACGAAACATGGGTTTACAGTTATGACGTCGAAACTAAGGGTCAGTCGCCCCAGTGGAGGCATCCTGACTCGCCAAGACCGAAAAAGGCTCAACAAGTACGGTCAAACGTGAAATGTGTCCCTCGATTTCAATGCCAGAGTGCATCATGAATTCTTGCCAGTCAATAACTTCTTCTACCTAAAAGTTCAACGCCGTTTGCGTCAAGCAATCCGAAACAAACGCTATCCCAGAGACCGAGTTTGAGAAGTGTTTCAAGGATTGGACGACGCGCTGGCACTAGTACATAATTTCTAATGGGGACTATTTTGAAGGCAACAACATCAATGTAGACGAATAAATAAATATATTTTCAAAAGTCGAAAATTTACGTTATTTTCTTTAGCACATCTGGTACGCATTCACGATGTTTATACAGCAGCTCTGTTTTTGCTGCATAATCGAACAATGTTACTGATACCTTTGAAAAGGTATCCAGTTTCAGAATAACATAATTATGTTGAAATAAATAGCAAATGTATAATATCCACGCATATCTATGATATTCTGTGTGATATGATCCACATTCTTATTCAGGTGTAACAAATAATTTTAGAACTAGAAGTAACAGAGACACTTGTTTTAGTGGTCTTGACATCATAATAGAATTACCAAGATATTTATCACTCGAAAGTTATGAAATTGTCATACATTTCAGAACATGATTTGTGTACCTACATAAAAAACTGTTACTGGAATTATAACTGACAATGTATATATAGACTTGTTAACTGAAACTGGATTACATACATATATCATGTGAGGATGTAGGTGCCTCCTAAAATAGATCTGTAAGCTCTTGCTCCTAAACACAAATGTTATAGCTTCTTGTATGAGTGGAATTAGGTGTATGTATACTGTAAAGCCACTTGTCTCACATCAGAATTTACTTACATTACCTTTATTTTTAGATAAAATGTTTACTTTCACGTCACATAATGACGATTTATTATTTTCAGGTTCATTATTCTTCGTATTCGCACTGAGTTCCTTCGTATGGTTAACCTGTCTCTGTATAGATCTGATAGTACTAGTAAGGTAATGTAATGACAAAATATAGATCTGTTTGTTAAATACAACAATGCATTGTGATAATGTTGCTCTCAAAGCTTATAACTTTCAAGTCTAAAGACATGTGCTTATAGTCAACGACAGACTTATAGTGTCTGTTTACATTTTTTCTACTTGGGAAGAGCTATACAGCCTTGAGACAGAAAGAACTTCCAGCAACTAATAGCAACTTCTAGACCTAGTTTGTGACCTTGAACGGATTGCTCCAAGTTGTATTGATGACTTATAAAATGTTGAACAAATAATGAACATGTGGTGACTGAGATTATTGTTCCCTTTCAGGAATTTCAAAAAGGATGCCTGTGGAAACAGGTTGATATATTTGTATTCCTTCTTCTCCACCGTTATACCCAGTATCATACTGCTGATATCAACATTAGTGAATGATGAACCAGCTATGCCAAATACCTTCATAAAAGGACACTGGGAAGAGGATGTTTGCAAATTTAAAGGTACGCACACTCATTATCTCATGTTTAGCTACTATTGGACAGTACAACATATATAACTGTAGTAACTTGGATGAGGTAAGACATTTCGAAGGTACCTATATGAATTATTTGATAAAATATATAGATGGATATTTCCATTTCAAATTTGCAATATTCTTGTGTTTGTTTTGAAGTCTTTAACTAAGTTTTACATTGTGATGGAAGAAGGTTTATTCTGTTTCAGAGACAAGCCATCTAATTTTCTTTGTGCCGATCTTAGTAATGCTTTTTCTCGGCTTTTGCTGCGTAGTTTACACAATACACTTGACGAGAAAATTCAATAAAAAGTACGAAAACAATTATGACTGGGTAAGAAAAAAGCAACATCTCAGACACATGTAAGTAACTCCTAATACTACGAATATGTTGATAACAGAAGTTTACTAGAAATGTCCTTAGTCACAGAAGTATGGGAAGGCTAGAATTTTAGCTACTTAATTTCATAAGAATAGTGTTTTCTTTACATATAAAAATGCATTTTAAATAGCTGAAACAGATTGTTTACATCTGTGTTTTCTCGTATGTTGGTATTTGAGGTTCGATCATTGGCGGAAAATTCATTTATATCCTCTCTGAAGTCCACAAATGAAGTGATATTTCACGGAGATGCAACATCCATAGCAGAAGTAGTTCACATTCTGAGCTCAGCTTTCGCGTAAAATGTTTGCCATTGTATACCAATTTTTTGATACGTCTTTTGAGTTTTGCATACAGAAACATAGTAGGCCGCGCGGATCGAAAGTCAGTACTGAATCTTAACCTGACTCTTTAGTAAACTTAAATTCAAAGTTTCACAACAATACGTGCAGTATTCCCACTACAGTGAATTTTTAAGTGTTACCAAGTCAGTAGAAAAATGGAACTCAACCGAGAACATTTTCGCGCCATAATTTATTACAACTTTCAGAAACAATTATCGCAACAAGAATGCCTTGCTGAGTTACTGTCTGTTTTCGGCAACGAAGCGCCACATCAGTCGACAATTTCCCGTTGTTATGAAGAATTCAAACGTGGACGGGTGAGTCTTAGCGACGATCCCAGGGTGGGTGCATCAAAAACGGCAGTCAACCAGGAAACCGTCGATGCTGTGCGCACACTCATCATGAAGATAGACATGTGACATATCGCGAGATTGAGGCGTCCTTGAAGATCTCAAAGACCTCAATTCAAAAAATTTTACATGAAGAATTAGGAGTAAGAAAATTAGTTTCTCGTGGGATACACCACCTGTTGACTGAAGAGCAGAAAGCAGCCAGGGTTAATTGGTGTCAAAAAACGCTTGACCGTTTCAATTCCGGTAACTCAAAAAATGTGTACAGCATTGTTAGTGGTGATGAATCGTGGATTTACTGTTATGAACCAGAAAATAAACGACAGTGGGCTGTTTGGGTGTTCCAAGGTGAAGAAAGCCAACAAAAGTCATCCGTTCTCGAAGTGTTTCGAAAAAGATGGTCGCGACATTTGTGTCAAAAGCGGGTCATATTGCAACAATGCCTCTTAATGAGCAAAGAACTGTTGCTGCGGATTGATATACCACCATTTGTTTGCCAACAGTCATCACCGAGCTTCGAAAAATCAACCCCGAAAGAAGAATCATCCTCCACCAAGACAATGCAAGCTCGCACACAGCCCAAAAAACACGGCAGTATTTAACGGAAGAAAACGTGGAATTATTTCTCCATCCTCCATATAGTCCGATCTAAGTCCTAACGATTTCTTTACTTTCCCGAAAATTAAAAACAGACTGCGTGGTCAAAGGTTCCAGTCACTAGAAGAAGCAGTTGACGCATTCTAAAATGCCGTTTTGGATCTGCCAGCAAAGGAGTGGAATAAGTGCTTCGAAAATTGGTTCGAGCGCATGTAGATGTGTATTAATCTTCGTGGAGAATACTTCGAAAAACAATAAAGTCATTTAAAACTACCTGCATATGCAAAACTTAAAAGATATCCCTCGTATATATATACGCCTCCAACCACAATAATTCTACGCACCTATTAAACATATTTCACTCATCGTAGTTGTTCCCGTACATACGCATTTACTCTAAGAGTCGCGTGTCGATACGTGCGACGTTGGAGGAAATTTTTGGAAAATACCCCATTGTACGATGTCTAGTATTTTCTAAGATGCTGAAATTGGAGATAATTCCATTAATACGTTATAGTTTTTTTTGTGTTTCTAGGTTAAACTCGAACGGCTTCCTGATAACCATCTCATTCATCTGGATCTTGAACGCCATGTTAGGCAAAGTGATAGCGTTAGCGAACCAAATACCATTTGACATGCTCGAGTCCTTGCAAGGTATCTTCACATTGTTCATATTCGTCTTGAACAAGCACACACGGAAAAAAGTGATACGGACATGTGGCGATCGAGAAAGGAGCGCAAGTGAGCGGATGGAAGAGCAAGAATTGAATTATATACAGAGGAATACCAATGGAGTTGAGGGTAGATTTGATTGAGATGAGCTGTCGTGCGAAGTGTTGAATATTTGAATGAATGACTCTGAAAACGCGACCAGCTATGTAGACGGAAGTTGCAAGAAGTTTTTGACGTTCAAGACAGCTTTTACGTTACACGTAAAGATTGTTTGGTAGAAACGTATCGTTAATGGATATAGGTGACTATTAAAAAAAAAAGAAATATTTAAGAGTGATGTATCATAACATTACTTCGTAATTCAAATAAGCAGGATATCAAAAATTAAGTTCATGGATGCGTAGACCACTGCATCGCTTCAAGATAGTCGTGGAATGAAGAATGCCGCCTTCCTAGTAAAATAAAAGTCGGCCCGCTTGGAGGAATGAGTCTGAATAGGGTTTTTTTACTGCTGGCAGTGATTTTGTCTTTCAGAAATAAAGTAGGATGTTTTTTGTCGCCACCAGTTGTACAAAAATTGACTGTTTTCTGGTTATGGACTTATAATACAAAATGCGTTCCTTTTACTTGCTACGCCTACTGGACAGGAAGTTTTGTAATCGCGAAATTTTTCGAAAATGAGATATGTTTTTTATGTTATATGGCATCACAGAAAACCATGTCACGCATTTCCGTTGGTCTGTCTGTTGGTCTGCCTGTCCGCTAATAATTGGCCCGTCTATAAGTTGGATAGTACTGCAATTTGGATGACATTTTTACATTAGATTACTACTATGCCAAAGACGAAAAAACTTTGTATTTTTTAAAATCGGTCCAGTGGCCAAACATGAAAAAAATAAAATCTTTCACTTCGTTTTTCACGTTTCAGATCATTCGAATGATTTTAAAAAAAAATCAGGGGTAAGCAATTCCCAACCTCGGTGATAGAGGGTCTAACTTGCGCTGAATAAGTGAATATAATCCTTTAAAAACTGACGGTGTTGCTGAGGGAAGTGCAGAGTCAACCTACCTGACGCAGAAATTGCCGTGTGTTTCGTCTTCCATTTGGGCCGCATTGAATTGTTTTGATCTTAAATTTCAAACATTCAGGTAAAAATGACTGTATAAACGCAATGCATAAGAAGCTCGATGCACGAAAATTTTGTATCAGTTGGAAGATTTGCAGGGCAAATAAATGTCCTTCAGTTTGAAAGTAACTCTTGACGTAATTTTGACTGCCATTTCAACTAAAAGATGCCTGTTTGCTAGGATTAAGTTGGTTACGTTACATTTGTCGGCCAAGTCTCCAAAGTCACGTAGACGTAATCTACTTGATGATGGCAACAGGCAACAGTACACTTTACTATTTTCGGCCTGTAAAAGGCAGTTTTCAGATATGAATATTTTAATTACCTACCTACCTAGATTTGTTTCTACTTAAACAATCTTATTTGGCATATACTTACATAATGACTGCCAAAGGATTAACTGTTGATCATAAATTATTTCATACTATGAACAAGTCTTCATTTTCTCACAAATTTCGTTTTAATTGTAGCCCTCAACAGTTATCTAAGTTACTACCTTTGTTGCAGAAATGTTGCAACTAGACTAATACGTTGCAGATAGACTGATGTTTCATGTATTTTAATTTTATGTTTTTGTATGAAATGTAAATAGAGTTATTATATTGTACATTCATAACTTGAGTTATTAACCCTTTTGCAAGATTACTGGCAGAAGCGATAAAATTATGGTCTACTCCTTTTCACCATATCCCCGAGACATACCTTAATCTAATCTAATGTATCAGGTCCGAGAATCGACTTTTCTATATTCATATTTACGTGATCTTTAGTTATTTAGCTGCAGCAAGGCTTTGAACTGAATTTTTATTTATAGATGCAATTTTATAAAATAAAAGAATAAGCTCTTAAGGAGCGAATTTATACCAAGTTTACTTATAACTTTTATGAATAATTAATTAAGGTTAAACAGGCAGTTTCAACTTTTGTTGAACCAAAGTCAACTAACTACCTCTAGAGGGAGAGAACCCATATAATTGTTGAGCAAAATAAAATTTTCGAAAAGCTCTTTCCTTTTGAAGGTGTAGGCGAAAAAAAAATTACAAAAAATGGACTAACATGTAGTCAAGGTCGACTGCAGAAGTTTGTGCGGCAAAACGTGTACAGGCCTTTCGATACCCTTATTACCGTCCTACCAAAAAATTACACCGGCATTATTACTTAAGCATTTGTTCAGAAAGACAATACATATACGAGAATGTCTCATATCAAAATTAATTGCTTAATTGTTCGTGTGCTCAGGCAATAGTCAGACAATACGACGATTTGGGGCACAACATTTTTCAATAAGTGCAACAGAAATTATTTTTAGTGACATCTTCTGAATACTCCTTTGTAATGATAAATCCAAATAGACACCATTGCAGGGCCGGGCCTTTAATCGCCATTTTGAAAAACGTTTAGTCAGTTATTTTGTAAATTATCAATTTTAAGTAAAAAAGTGATAGGACCATTTTTGTTCAGAATAAAATAGTCCGTCATTCTCATTCCATGCAATGTTATCCATACGGGCAACAGTTTACAAAATATTGAACGTCAAAGCAACAATTACATCGTCATTTTTAACGGCTGAACTAGACCCATGAACTTATAAGAGCTATAACTTTCTGTAGAGACTAAAATTGGCTATAACAAAACCCTTATATAGTGCTGATGATTCTTCTTCAATGAGGAATGAAAGTTGAAAGTTTTCATCAAACCATTAGCCATCATATTAAAGTGAACTATATATTTTTTACTGCCACGCGTAGGTATGGTTATCGCTTCATTAAGACTGCTGTTTGGCGATTTTGTAACTGCGTAATGATTCAAATGGAAGGGGAGATACAGCAGACAGTGCTGGTTTATGACATATCACCCCCATAGCAAAGGTTACGGAGTGGACATAATTGCTTAATGACGGACTAGCGGAGCTGAATGACTTAAATTTTCATGATGAAGTTATTTCGAATCATCCAAAAATATTACATTTTCCATATTTTCGCATGGCAATAGAAGAAAATTTAATCCACTTTAAAACGTCTAATGATTATGGAGTTATCCCTGAGTGGAGTAATTGTTTTATGTTGACATGAGCACAACGAATGTAGCAAGCGGAGTATGACGCGCGAATGTTTTAATATGAATGACTTAGTTGACTTTCACTGTCAATCCTCTTTAATGACTTCAATTTGGATTTATCATTACCAAGTAGTATTCTAACGAAATCGATAAAAAAATTGTGAGAAACAATTACCTATTTCTTGGAGTATAGTTTTAGTAGTTAGTTGAATCGGGAGTTTCTAGAACACGTGGCCACTGCTAAGGAAATGCACATTCCATCGATAACTGTTTGTTTTATATTTAGCTCATTTTTCCCTTTGTGTATTTACTTACACCAGATTTTTTTTTATTAAGAGGCTAATAGACTTTCTAAACACTTTTGCAATATCCTGTGGGTGTCGTGGCGTTATCGTAACACTCATATTTCATGAAATTATCGAGCAATCCATGAAATAATCGCATCATGAAATGACTAATTAAATTTGACCATATCGTTGAATCCTCAACGTTTAACGATCTGGTCATCCACGATTGAGCATTTCCAACCTGTCAGTGACCGTGTGCGAGATTCCGCCATAAAAATTCCGTTCATTCTACTACACTATATAGACGGAATTCACACGGCCGGATCCAAGACACAGTCACCGACCACTGTACGAACAAACCTCGTATCGTAAAATAGGATTTATGAAATAAAACTGGTATAATGATTATAAGCAAAATAATGAATGTCGTATGCGTGTATGATAACAGGAGTATATTTAATCCAAATCATACATGACAAAAAAATACAAAAATATATAGAGGTACTGTATCATCTGAAGCTTATCCTGTGCTTTTCGTGTCGATAATCCCCTAAATTGTTTGGCAAATGAAGCCACATGTATTTGAAATTCTTCTTTAATACCTTCTTTAGTATGTGACACTTTTGACATGCAGTTTCATTGGCCATACAAACATGGGGGATTATAGATAGGTACTGTTATGATGGAACTAAAAAGTGGTAACAAAATGTTTATTAGGAAGTTTCATAGTAAACTAATCACGCTCATGGTTCGCAGCAAGTCTACAGTTTACCAAATAATATTGGAAAATACTTCGCTATTTATAGCTCCTTATTGATGGTTTCAAAGGTCTAAGATCCGTAATTCCATATGAAAGTTATAGCATAACAGTGAAATCCATATACCACTGACGTCGCAATGTGTACGAGAGAAAAGCGCGCGAAGCGTGCAATGCGTGTGTTAGAAACAGATAGAAGCACCTCGTTGCCAAGCAATCCGAGTGACGCGGCCACGCACGCAGCTGGGGCTTGGCGCGTTGTCATCGGCGTACGCTTCTCTCTAATACACATTACGACGTCAGCCAAATTTGAAGCTCGCCATATAAAGGTCATACAGGTATCAAGAAATAAGTCCTCCCCAAAGTCTTTTTTAGCAAGATTGTTATTAGTTTCATCTAAAGAATCTAATTTAATTGAATTAACCTGAAAATAACAATTGTAAACATAATTCATCCAATTTAACTTCACAACCAAATGGTCGTACATCCAACAAATTTGACGCCTTTATTTGAATACGTTAAATGTTGAAAATACAAATAGCAAAAGCCGTCCTGAGAGCTATTACTGTTGGAAAGTGGCAAGAACTGGATATGGCAATATTTTCCCTGTTTTCAATTGGAAACCTAATAAATAATCAGGGTTAAACTAAATTGGAATTAAATGTTTTGATGTAACATCTGAACATTCTCCTGAGGTTTTCATGCTGATAATCCGCCATGTTTGTTTGGCCGAATCTTAGCAAATATATTTTAAAATTCCAATAAATTTACTGTACGACGTTTCAGCCCGAACTACAACTTTTTCAAGCACAATTGACACTTTTGATAATATATTGTATTTATCTGTTCTCTGGGTGATACTTCATCTGTTTTCTTGTTTGATTCAAATGTTCGCATTGTTGTGTGTTACTACTATAGACTGGTCGGACCTGTAACATGCTGAGATTGCAATTCTAAGATCGCGCCATCTCAGCATGTTACAGAACCGTTCAGACTTTTGTAGTAACACAGTGTATAGAAATGTGCATTGCCAAAAGTGTCAATAGGGAATACGCATGTTTTTTTTTTATATTCTATGTCGATTATTTACATTAATATACCACAACACACATATTTCATTCAAGGAAATGTCTGCAATTTTTCATATTTAAAAGAGAAATACCAATGACGTTGATTTAAACGCCGCATTTCTAGCCCGCTTTGCAGTAAACATTGCAACGCATGCGTTGTCATTTTATCCCATGTTTGGTTAATTTGCAGTTATGGTTTGCTCTCAAGTTTTATTATTTTTCTTTTTCTTTTTTTCTAGAACATAAACGATTGAAGGTGGCTTTCTGTAGCAATTTATAGCTTAAATAAAAATAAATAACCGTCATTTGAATCACATGCATATTCCCTATTGTAATTGAAAGAGGTCACCATTGGGATCCAAACGTCGTACAAAAATTTCAAATAATTATCAAATGTTTTCGTTCACTTTTTTCACTTGGTCATCTTTAGTGACAAGTGTGAACTACAAAAATTATTATTTGTAGCAACTGGTTAATAAAACAATATTTCATTGTTCAATGAACTCAAAGTACAAAAAGATACATACATATTCCAACAAGGCAATCTTCACTATTAGGAATAGGAAACTGTGTAATATCAACATTTGCTAAAACTCTAAATAATATCTAAATACCCAATGAAATTGATGTCAAAATTTAAATGTCCATTAACATACGTACAGTACATATTTGACTAGAACTACAAGCTCTGCAAGATACCATTAGATAAAAAGGAAATTTTGGCGTTTGAACAAAGATCTGAAAATTAATCGTCATACAAATTCATTTTCTTTGTTCTCAGTCAAGAAGTCCAAGCATTAAAAGTTTAGCAATATATATATATATATATAGTATACACATACAAATACCAGAGCTGGTTTAAGGACAAAGCTTTTTGAGGCATAGGGCACTTGGAAATTTCACATATATACATATGTTATAGTTGCCTCCACTTCTGCTTATTTTAGTTTCACATCTTACAATTTAGTATTAAAATAAACAGATTATCACACCCCGCTATCAACCGATTAAATCTCTTATAAACTACATAACAAAAATACGCAACAAAATAAGTACTCAACTATTTATGAAACAAAATATACACAATTCTGAGTTGGTAAGAAAATATTGGGTTAAGTGTCATCTTTATTTTCTAAATTGTTGCTTCAATATTATACTGTAAATGCGTAAGTGCTTACTCGGAATTCTGTCATATCACTTTTTATAAATTAATACTGACTGCGTAGACTGAATGCTAAGATTAAATTTTCATTGTATGTTCTAGTGGTAATGGAAACGCACTCAAAAGTCCTGAGGACATGATGCAAATAGTTAACATCGTTCATGGCATAAGATGTCATACAACTTATGTACAACAGTCACCTTTTTTTCCCCAAAACAATGAAAACGTACATTTAGGATGTTATCACTTTACAGCTCAAAAACATTTTTCACTGGGTCAGATGCTGCAAATTGAAGTTTGCACGGAAACACAAACAGTGAAACAATGTTTCTGTTTTTCTATTTTGTTCCGAGACAGTCTCAATATATAATTCATGTTTGGCCTTGGGCATATTCGAATCGTGATGGAACAGTGACTGACATCATTCTGGGTTTTGTGATGAAGGAGTCTAAATTCTCCAAAGATTCTCCAAGCTACATATTGGTAATTCTCTAATTAGTCGCTATCATTTTTAGTTATAGGGAACGGATTACTTATACCCAATACGCTGGTTACTTTATCTTCTGTTTGACTGAAATATATCAGAACGTACCTGCAAGATAACAATTATTTATGATCAAAATACATTGCAAATAGTGCTCAAATACAGGGTATTTCATTGGGAGGGAAATATTTCAACTGTAGATAATGAAAAAACTTATAGTTGATGGGTTCTAACCTCTTAAGGCCGAGATACAGGGAGTTTCATAGATTTCGTCGAATGTTTCCTTTGCTACCTCGTGTCTTTGTTTATTTCGTCACCATGTTGGAAAATCATGAACTGTCTAATTCATGATATTCCTCCAGATATGGGATCTCTCATTGTAGAATGATTCGAGTTATATGACACAATCAATAATGCTAAAAATGTAAAAGTTGATACTTACTTGTCCTTACAACGGCTCGGTAGCTCAGGAAACGTAATCTCAAACTTTTTAGCTCGTTGAAATTTGGGTGAATGCGGATGCTTCGTGGGTGTTTCGGGGGAAGGCGAGGCACACTTGCTTACATATTCGTAAGTGATATAGTCATCCAAAGAACAGAAATCTTCCTAAAATAAATATCCCAATTTACCTAAATATCAAAATTCATGACAGAATGAATGAACAACGAATCAAGGCAGAGGTTTCTCAATAAACAGGTTACGCGTTACTCAAAACGAAAAATAGCTTCCACGGATCACCATCAGTGACGTCAACTGTAAAGTTTTGTCCTGACCCAGTTCGGTCGCCATCGTCGTTATAATAGTGTTTTTGACGTTCAGGCCTACTTTTCATGTTCTGTGATCGCAACCCGCAAAACAGCCCGGCTTTCGGAATCGTTTTCATTATACCCCGTTAGCCCCTATCCCGGACCGGAAATCAATTGATACATGGGTTACCACAAATTGCAAGTGCGACAAGATGAAGAACTGGTGTCCCTTGGACTTTTGTTCTGTGAGGACAATTCTTCATGGTGATCATTTCTATCCTTACAAGATGGCCATTGTGCAGAAACTTACTGAACGTGACTTCAATTTTCATTTGCGTGGAGCCGTCAACAGACAAAATATGTGCTACTGGCCTAATACCAATCCTCTAGAATTGCATTAAAGGCATTTGCATTCACCCAAAGTCACAGTGTGGTGTGCAATTTATCAGGTGGAATTATGGGGAACACCTCCCAGAGCGCCGCAACTCATTTAAGAGCGATTTGGGGTGTCCGCCCGCTCTCCAGATATAACCTTGTGATTTTTTTTTATTGAGTTTTTTTGAAATCCCGTGTTTATGTGAACCGTTTAAAGACCCGACAAGATTTAAAGACCAACATCCAGGAAGAAATTGCCGACATAATGCCTGCTATGCTGGCAAAATCATTACAAACGTCAGAAATCGGTTTACTCAGTGAATGGGGAATAGGGGACGTACATTATCTGTGACAATGTGAAACAAAATTTAGTCATCCGCCTGCATTATAAAAAACAAATACAAATGTTCTGATTCATACAATAAGTTTTGAAAAAAGAAAGATAAGCTGCCGCATCCTGTATTTGAGGTTATGGTCAACTATGATGGTATTTGTGATAGATATCAAGAGTTTAGATGATTGATGTTCTGCCTCTCGCATTCTTTAACAGTCTCAGCGCCGGTGTTATTAGCACCAAACATACCAACACCATCACCGGTCAAAAATACTGTTTATAAATGGTTGTATTCTATTTGTATTATGTTGTATTCTGTTTATTGGAAGAAATACGTGTGTATTAGGTGTTGGTATGTCTAGGGTTAATGAATTCTAAAAAAGAAATAGCACGCATACAATTGAGATATCAATTGATAAATGAACTGAACTTGTTGGGGACCTTATTGCTCACCGATTGAAACTCAAAAAAATATACCTGCACTGTTGTAATAGATTAAAGCACCTATGTATGGTTATGAAATATTGAAGATAGGCGAAACAGTAGTTCAGCACTGACAATGCATAGGTCGCCTAAAAGTTGCGCGAAGTTTCGATTTCTCACGTTTGTACATGACCGGTTATTTTTTATTATTACTATGAAACTGAAATGACCCATGTAACAGATGCACCATTTGCAGATGATGCAGCATTGTTTGCAACTGATAAAGATCTATCAAGTTCTGTTAGTAAAGCACAGACTGCTATAGTTGTAGTCACCGTTCTTGACGGATCAAAGTAAGACTACCAGTATCCATTTATATATCTCCATTTCCCTCATACATACACATGCAACCTACCCCCTGTGTGTGAACGTTTGTTCGGTATGCTCGAAGACATACGTTTTTTAGTTGTGTGTCTCCGTCTCGAAAACTTTGTCGTTGTGACAAATGACTTGACATCGGCGTGCAATTTGAGTTGTCCTGGTATCAATCTTCAATATAAAATTGTACAATGCTCGGAAATACGATCAATGGAGAAGGTCGACAGCTCGTGTTAAATTTATTAAAGTATTTCCAGGAAGAGAATGAAAACAGCGGCCCCGTGTTACCCACTGCATGCGTACCGGAGAGCGTAGCAGATTTACTGTAGATTAAAATTATGTACTAAATGCTGTATGACAGTATCCTTAATTTTGTACGAAATTTAGCTTACTAAATTTAGCACAACATTTCGAATCGTGACAGAGGGCGTTAAAGGTTTGTAATTTTTTATATGAAATCAAATGAAAATGCCAAATACGAGTATGTGTTGCTACAACCAGATAATGCTGTAAAAATACTGCCCGTTTAGAAGCACCATCATAGAACTGAGAACTTTTTTGGGCTTAACAGAGTGGGCGAAGTGTCCCGTTAGACAGTGCAGATGCATTCTTTTATTACATTAAAAGGTGTATGAGATGGTTGTTTCTCTCATAAGTGTGAAAAACCTTGGGATCGATAGTGCGTGGTTACTCGGGGAAATATATCATGGTGAAGTTCGGTGCAAAGATCTTGGAGAGTTCTTGTACCTTGTGTTGAAGTTAGTTTGTCCATATACCAGAATTTGACGTTTTCTCCTATTTTGTGACCAAACCAAGCACGGGTATTATGTAAAAAAACTATAAAACGTCAAAAACAAGCAATAAAATGTCATCTTGCAGACTAGGTAGTTTTTAGGGTGCAAATAGTGCATTCCACGTTTGCTCGCTATGACCACTGTGAGCGTAGATCTATAGAGGAATGACTCGACTACACGCATTGTTGGTTGCAATTTTTTTCTGTTGCGAGTAGTTTTCATCTCTGAGAAGACAGTTGCTTGAATAGCAAGATCGCATCTGGATGATTATGTGTATAAAATCAGTGATATTTGCTGTGTGAGAAAATCATGACTGCCAATGAAGTATATCTATTAGCTGTACCTGGCGGGTTATTTATATGTTGTCTTTTCTGAAGACATGTTATATTCAAAGCTATAAATTACGATTTTTCCCGTTTTTTGTGTTTTCAAAAACTTTTAGGAGCACTACGAGAAATCGCAACCACGCACGCGTTGTGTGCATTAAAGCCACATCACAGAAAAGTTAGTAATGACGCATCACACATCAAAATTGACATCGCAAAATAAATTTCTATAAAATTTAAATGACTGGAAATTAAAGATAATGTAATAGCATTTTCACTTTCTCTGTAGCATATTTTCTCACCTGGTCTTTCACCAACCCAGGATTTTCTTTCCTTATCTCTAATTTTTGAAATTCAGCAAATTTGCATACGTAATTTCCAGAATGAATAAGAAAAAGTAGATGTGCAACTAATTTCTAGCTTTAAAACTCAAGTAAGTGTATTTGAGACAAGAATCCAATGGAATTATCATCAACATATATTATTAGCACACAAATCCTCACTATGCACCTATGCATTGCCGTTTCCTTCTAGCTATAGTATACAACCTCTGAAGCAGATTTTACATTACATCAGAGCCAAACATTGATAACTGAAGCATCATGACGTTTAAGCAACACGTACAACTACAAAACGAGTTCTCAACGTGTCCATCAGCTAGTGCTGAGTTTACATCTTGTAGAAAAACCTACATAATGTCACAAAAAACCAATACAATGTCAAAAAAATCGACATGTCACTTTTCAAGGTACGTAATACCCGTGCCGATATAGACAAAAACGATCAAATGAGTCGTGTCTTAACCTGCAATTCATGTAATAATTATAAGGCCCAAGTACAAGTTGTAAAATTTTTTTGGGACTTCCTGTTTATTGCACTTTTATTTATTTATGCAACTGTTTATTTGACTGAGCGGCAACACACCAAACATGTGAGCAGCACTCCAAGCTAGGTCTTATCTGTTACCATACTGATCTGTTGAACCTATATGCAGCGTCTAACGATCCAATTTGACTGTACCGATGTATTAGCAAGCGGTGAAATTCAAATATCGAAAATTGAGAGTGTCAGGTTGTCAACGGTCGGTCGATAGAAGCCGTCGCTCGGTGCCGGTATCGATGGCTTCATCACATCAAATTTGAACAATCATTTAATTAAGTTTTTCCCGTTCATCGACGGGCCTGTACAACGCAACGGTAGGAAGCATAATTGACAGAATTTGCAGGAGATCGGTGCTGGAAAACGTTCCGAATTATCTGCTCAATGGAGTAATGAACATGAACGGATATAATAAATGAATTGGGAAGTCAGCAGATCCGCTCATGGTACGGAGACTCGATACTTATTTCATATGGCGTTTATGCCGTAACCGCCAAGAACGGTGACTACAGCTATACCAATAATTTAGTAAAAAGGACCCAGAGGTGGAATATCAAATTGAAAGAATCGTTTGCTTTACAAACCGAATATTTGCAAGTCCTTCTATTAATCGCGATTTGAATATCCCTCTGGTTATCGACGAAATCAAAAAAAGTAGCGGCTAGGCAAGGAAGGCTCCATCAATACCCCAATACAAAAGCTTTTCAGCTGATGTACTTGTGTAGTGTTTTGTGTCTAAAGTAGAGCATGTGCGCGAGTTTCTCGTTACTGTATTGATTATACGCTGAGATTAACTAAAGGAAATCAATGGATTACCTCTAATGATAAGTATTAGTTGTAAGAGGACCCAGGAAAATGAATAGTAGATCAAATTGATCTGTTTTGATACTCGGGCGTCAAAGCCAATCTAAAAACAAAAAAAAACATGAAATCATCCCGGTATCAATCATGATTTGCCAGACAATCGTAATCTTTCCTACATACATGTAATTAATGTAAGTTTTAAAAAATTAAAATAATTCGAGAACAAAGAGACTATAAAATTAGTTATGAATTTCAAATCCTGAAAGTAAAGATACAAATACTATCAAGCATTAGATTTAACGTTTTATATCAGATCCGTGATCATATAAAGTCCAGTACTCAATAAAAAAGTGTAATAGGTTTTTCTAAATATTGAACTGATACTGTCATTCGATACGCAGATTTTTAAATATTCCGTAAATACAACTCTTCCAGTCATCCGTAAACGGAGATAATCGAACCAAATGTCATTTTGTGGTACATGAGAATTTGTTCTTATCAGCATGAGGGGCTAGTTAGGCTTACCTTAAATATGCCAATCCAATCCTCTTTTGTATGCGGCAACTCCTTTTTCAACCTATATATCGCTTTGTTCTCATCTTTCTCATTCCAAGCGATAATCTTGTCGAATTCCACGACCCGTTCAGCGTAATCTGAAAACACCTGATCAACAGATACCGGCAATGAGGGTCCTGCTTTGTCTGCGACTATCTGTGGCTGTTGGGGAATCTAAATAGCAACATAGTCATTTCATTATTATTTCCGTTTCATGACTGCTGTCTAGCAAAAGCTTCGATGAATTCCTTGCACACGGATGAACTGTTTACTATGAAATATAGTTTTGTGGCAGAGATACATATTTTCACCTAAAGCACATAGACCATAAGAAATTAGTACACTCATGGCTAATAAAATTCAGAAAGGGATTTCGTAGGTATAAAATTTGTCAAATTAACATTTACTATAACATACTATATTTCCACATAGCCCTGTGGGCTGCATTATTTCAAATCGTGAACACATTATTCCTTGGATTTTTGTCATTTAAATTGTCAGTTACTACCGGGGTGAGAAGCTTCTTTATAACAGAATGTCATTCACTGGTACCAAAGATGCAGCATTTACAACCCCCTACAAATTGTTTTCTGAAAATGATCAGGAGTTTGATCGGTTCTTATTTCATCCAAATCCGGATCCAAGTTATAGAGGGGCCAATGATTAGCAGACCGACCGACTGACGGAAATAAAAGTCGCACGGTTTTTCGTGACCTACATGACATCAAACATCCAAAAATCTGAATATCTCATTTTCGAAATTCTTCTCGATCACAGTACTTTCTCGAAAGTGTGGCGTGGGAAGTAAAAAGTATTAAAATGCTGGCGGTATTATATGAAGTGTTGCAGACGTATTCAGGAAAATATAATTGCATTGTGTTTTTCATTTGTTAGAGATATAAACATACAGCAAAAACTCATGCAGTGTAGTAGTAAGTTGTCTTAAAAAGTAGCACTAGTCGGAAGTAAAAAATCCTTTTAGTCAGGCTACTTTACTCGAATTTTCCGTAATATGAGTTTATCTTTATCCACACAATTTGCTTCCGACTTTCGGTAAAATCAACCATGAGACCAGGACCTGCCTAAACTATGAAAAATGATAATCATATACTCGTACATAGCTAGCCTTGATACTCAATAATTAAATATTGTTATCGTATAACACTTCTACCCCACAGATACTCGTAGTACAAACGAAGTTCAAATTTCAAATAAAAAATCCATTAACAGAGAAAGACCTGTAGAAAGACGTATAGATAATCCTGCCGCAAATACGTTTATTCCCAGTTCGAAAAAATCTGTAGAAAATTGTAAAGTGTAAATGGCATATAATTATTTACATATTTTATAACCTGTAAGTTTACAACGTATCCGTGGTACCTTGACCACCTTCATTAATTCTGCCAACAATACACTTTACCATTATCAATTAATATTTTTTTATGAATGCCAGTGAAAATTATCACAAAAACCTACTTTAGAATGGCAACCACAGAGTCGGGAACTAAATAACATGTTTGTATGGGCCAATCAAACCATATATGTTTAAAATTCCTCTCTGTTGTACAATTGTACTTGAAGGTCGCAGTTGGGACCGAAACGTATAAAAAGGAATTTCAAACATATGTTATGTGGTTTGATTCAAAACAAACTTGGGGAATTATCGACATAAAAAACACATGATAAGTTTCATGTTACATTAAATACAAAATAGATATAGAATCCAAATAATGAATATACTATATGTTTTACTTAAAATAAATTAGTTGATATCTATTACCGATACAAGGGAGTGTCACCATTTTTAAAAAAAATTTGCCGAACCGCTTCGATCTTTTATACTTTGAACGCTTTTCATAATCGTTTTGTGTCAACTTTTTGAGCAATCGAGCACTGTAGTTCCATGTGTATACTGTGTATTTGCAGCTGCTTGGCGAACCCTTGTTTGCCGTTTTTCTCGGCTAATAAATTTTGATATAAACTTCCTCTAAATCACGTGTTTTCAGGGTAGAGGTGTTACAGTAAAACGTTATTGTTCGTAGAGTTCCATATTTTTCTAGCCAACTGTTGATGTTTTCAAAACAAAATCACTTGAACAAATCATTAATCTGCATACGAACAATTCAAACAATTTAAAAAATATGTACATATTCTATATGATATTATGTGGTAAACCTGGCCTATAATCTATTTTATCTTGCCAAAATACACAATTACAATCGATTACATGCCACATATAATTTATGTAGGAAGCTGTAAATTCAGTGAATCTTTATATACAGATGATGTCAACATGTTCTTAGAAAATATGCGCTATTAAATAAGTACTGAAGCTGTATTAGAAACGTGAACACATTATTAGTAAATGACTATGTTGTTATTTACGATATGGAATCTGAGCATGAGAAAGAGCAAAGCTTGAAAAAACCACTTTGAAGTTCACATGGTTGCCTAGCTTGGTGGATGTATACAAACACTTATGAATTCTATCACCCATCAAACTATATTTTTAAAGCGCGCATATATCTCGCTATCTATCTCTTTTATCAGTTTCAGAAGAAATCCCGGGCGAGACAAAACAATGTATGGAAACTGACGTAATAATGAAGTTACCATTTTTAAATACAAGTTTTTTGAAATCACCTCTCTATATGAAAAATCTTGATGATATTGATAGCGAGGATAGACAGCAAATAGTGTGCTCTCTATACGGATAAGGTAATTTCAAAACCGGATAGTCCATAATCAATAATGTAAACAGAGTTTTTCTTCTGGAGAGCATGTAAGCTCATAAAAGGCTGACAAACCTTACACTGAAGAACTTACTATATCCCTAATTATTTTACCTCTCCATCCTATACTAGTCTGATTATGCCATCTTTGTTTTGCTTATAAAGTCTAGAATGTCCCTAGCCTCTATAGATTGCTAATTTTCATATCATTTGAACATATGTATTTTGCACATGAAGTATTCAATTTATCCGTGCGAACTACAAAGTAATTTCCACTGACAAAAAAACAAACCTTTATTACAAATTCTGCTGTGACTGGCCGATGATCACTCAACGTGTAAGATGGATGAGATTTATACGACAGTTGATCCGCTTTAAGAGTGACGTTTTCGTAATTGTGGGAGTTGACACGGTAAAGGATACGGTCACACCAAGCAGGTCGGCGTCTACAAAAATAAAAAGGATTGATGAGAAATTGCCATAAAAAAGCTTCAGTTATTCAAGGTACTGCACACTGCTTAGAAATACTCCTGGTGAAATGAATTTAAAAAATAATCAAGATGAAGTTGTACCGTTAGAAAAAGTGGGAGGGGCCAAGAACACCATAAGATCAGACTTAGACTTCTCTCATTATCCCTTCGCAGGAAGAATGTGTGAATAGAGAAATAACATTCCCGCCTCAGTATCACGTGTGCTTTACTTACGGATCCAAGGAAACAGGATCCTGTAGGGTGGGAGTATACTTGGAAGGAAAAGACGTGCAGTAAAGCTTAGCGCTAGGAACCTACACAATGGTCTTCTATGCAGAGAGATGTCCCATGTTAATGGTGGTATACTCAGAACTAATTCAGTAGTGCACCGTGCGGAGTATATTCGTATGCCACCCAAAAAAACTCGGACCCGTTGGCTACTGGATAGGGGGTACAGAAAAGAATTGCTCGACCTTTTGGCGGGGGTTTACACCGGCCACTTTAGACTAAACAGGCAACTTGATATCCAACCTGCCCCATGTGCTGGGAGGAGGACTAGACAGCATTCCACTTTCAGGGCTATTGCCCCGTACATTACAGTCAAAGGGCTGAGATATTCGGGACCATGGAGTCTGATGGTGACGTTGCTGACTCAATGGGTCATCATGACCTTTATTAAGCGATCAGGGAGGTCCAACAGATTAGTAAACTAGCATGTGGAGTACTGTTGGTACACTCGGGGTCGGCAAAAAGGGCCAAAGTCGGCCTACTTATCTGTCTTCACCTCCCCACCACTATATGTACTACTGCACCGTGAGCTGATGACAAGAAGATTATAGTAAGTGCCAATATCTCAGGAATCGAACCTTCAAGTCATTTTATGGAAAAAAGTCATATGTCCATAGCGCTTTAACTTTGCTACATGGTTTAAGAATTTATTTTGTTTTACTTTCTTCAAATACCGTCCAAGACACTTGAGGCATATCTTCAGTTTCAGTATGCTACACTAGAACCTTTAAAAAACATATTTTAGTCACAAGTTATATGATAGCTCCCTAGAGGGGTCTCTCTGAACATATACGCGGGTTTTTTATAAATAAGCTAAGTTTTGAGACATTTTCACTCATATTTTTGTTCGCATAACACAAGTCAGATGTTGCTTGTCTAAAACAAATGAAGTAAAAGTTCAACGCTCTGTAGAAAACATATGAGCTCTTTGGTAACACATGTTAATAACTGTTCATAGTGAAATGATTTACCGTGATCCTGCTACCAAGCATTTTTTTTTAACTACAAAAGTAAAACCTGATATAGTTCAAACGTTCTAATCCTGCATTATTTATAGTCACATTTGAAAAAGTGCAATATTTACACATGTTAGTTGATAAGTGGATTATATTCGGCTCCATTGTTTAAAAATAAACACTAAAGATAAATGTTTATCGAGTAGAAAATTATGTGATATTCAAGCAAACCGTGGGAGATTACAATATCGTAGAAGAACGACAAAACTGAATTCGAAATTAAGTCCGACACGAATGAACAATTATTTATCGTTTAGGTAGGGAGGACGCTTATTACAAAGAACAAAATGCACCAAACAGAACAGATATACCATGCACCTTTTCTTGAGACTTGACTATGGAATATGCTGCAAATATTCTCTCCGAGAAACTAGGCAAGGACCAAACATGAGTCAGCATATTCTAATTCGCTTAAATTCACCGCATTTTAGATTCTATCTCATTCCACTGTTTATCTAGCTGTTATAATACTTTTGAGCATATTTAGAACATATTAAACGATAACGACTGTGGCAAACTAGCCATGTTTCCTGTTACTTAAATATTTTCTTCCATGATTATGTTATTCGTTGGTTGCAATATGCGTCCATATAATACACATATAACAATGTGGTACTTTAGCACTTTCTTTTCCTATAATGAGGTTCGTGATATAACAACAAAAATTATCTATTCACTTTCCACTCTTACATGTTGGTATATAATTTACAAACATTTTGTCTAGTGTGAAACTAAATGATATGCTTGATTAACTATTATTGTAGCCTTGTAACATAGCACATATTGTTGACGCATATTTGATTCTATAGACACTATAGACTATTTTCCAATATAAATAATTTCATTATAAGAACGTTTTATACAAAAAAATAGATGTGAAAACTGTCGGTTATTCCCTACTATTATAAATGTGAAAGTGTGTATGGAAGAGGATTTATTTTTTTTTTTTTTTGTAAAAGAAAAGTAATCTACCTGGTCATGAAAAAATCTGAGATACACAAGCATAATATGTCAAATACAGGCACGTGTTCTAACATTCAAGGCAAAATTTGAGTTAATTTTGATAATCAGTTTACAATTTATGAAGTCAATTGTGAGGAAAGATGAGTAACTCAAAATTAGAGCATCGCAGTGTCACACAAAATTTCTGACAAAACGGGGCCATTAGACAAAAACAATTTTTGAGAGAATAGTTACCGTCTATGGGGATGATGCAATCATATTGTGTACACAATAAAATGTTGGTCGAAACAGTTTCGATGAGGGCGTGAATCCATAGAAAACGATCCCTATAGAGGAAGATCCAAAACAGCAACAAATGATTAAATGACTCAAAAAGTTGACGCCATGGTTCTCGAAGATTGTCGTGTGAAGGGTTCTACCATTAGTATGGCACTTAATATATATAAAGGGTGGTCCATTTAATTTTTTTTTTTTTAAATGCTATAACAAAAAACTACTAAATATTTTTCCAATTTTTTTTTTTATTTGAAAGTACAATCCTTCCGATTAAGTATGGAATACAACATCATTTAAATGACTGCCGCGGCTGGCTTTGCAGTAGCCCATACGGTCAGTCCAATTTTTGACCACATTTTCAATCGTATGTGGCTGTATTTCAGCAATGGCAGCGCGTATGTTCTCTTTTATTTCGCCAATTGTTGCTGGTTTGTTGGCATAACATTGGTCTTTAATGGCACCCCATAAATAATAATCTAATGGGGTCAAATCACAGCTCCGAGGCGGCCAAACAACATCAGAATTTCGGCTGATAATGCGATCACCGAAAACACTTCGCAGAAGAGCAATTGTAGCGTTTGCTGTGTGACACGGAGCACCGTCTTGTTGAAACCAGATGTTACCGACATCAATATCTTGAATCTGTGGAAAGAAAAATTCATTTATCATGGTACGGTAACGCTCACCATTCACAGTAACTGCTGCTCCGGCTTCATTTTCAAAGAAAAATGGGCCAATGATGCCACCAGCCCAAAATCCGCACCAAACAGTCACTCGTTCTGGATGCATTGGCTTTTTTTCGATTGCGTGTGGGTTCTCTGAACCCCAAATGCGGCAGTTTTGCTTATTAACATAGCCGCCAAGATAAAAATGCGCTTCATCTGAAAAGATGATTTTTCGACCAAAATCAACATCTTCATCAAGTTGATTGCAGGCCCATGAAGCGAAGCGAAAACGCATTGGATGGTCAGTTGGCTTCAATTGCTGAACCAATTGAACTTTGTACGCCTTCATACCAAGGTCTTTATGCAAAATTCGACCTAATGATGTGCGTGAAATGTTCAATTGTTGAGAACGTTGGCGCGTTGATGTGCTTGGAGACTCTGCCACACTCTCAGCTACAGCATCGATATTCTCGGGTGTACGCACCGTTTTCGGTCTTTCACGTGTTGGTTTGTCAATAAGAAGACCAGTTTCACAAACTTTTTGCACAAAATACCTCACATACGGTGCTGACGGTGCTTCATTTCTTCCCATTTTTGCACGTAATTTTCGGACACAATCTGCAACATTACCACCACTTTCGAAATATTGTTTTAATATTTCCCAGCGTTGTTCAAGCGAATACACAACCATTTTCGTTAATCGGAATGATATGACTGATGTTCTGTCAAATCAGATGCGAAATAAGTCTTGACATATCCCAAAAAAGCAGTAACTCAAAAAAAAAACGATAGATGGACCACCCTTTATATGAAGCCAGCATAATAACCATCTTGACAATTTGAACACGACTGTTGACACCTAAACAAAAATTGTGCAGGCTAGAAATTGCAGCAAGTCATTTGGAAACTTTGATCACCAATTCTGACTTTTTGGCACAACTTGTGTCGGGTGACGACACTTGGGTGAGACAGAATCCAAGCACTGAGTTCATGAGGGATCTCTACCCCCCAAAAAGGCAAGAAGGCAGGAGTTTTCGGGACACCAAGGCACCTGAAGCAATCAACCAGAAAAGGCCCGATTTTTTCAATCGAGAAGTGCTTCTGCTGCATGAAAAGGCCTGACTCAGACTAACTTTTATTCCTTTAGAATACCAAATAAACATTTTTGAGGACGCCGTTTTTACCCAGATGATGGCCTATAAGCAGCCGCCGGCAACCTCTTTGAAAGTCAAAAGGAAACCTTTTCTTTTAATAGTTCTTTTCTAGGACCCCTCGAATGTATGTTCCGTTTTCACGCTAAAATGGCTGAACCAATTTTGTTGAATTTCAGCCTGTGGATAGATTTCTTGGAGACGGGTATATTTTGTTATTAAAATTAAACTTGAGGGGCTTGAGCTAGGAGGTAGAAGTTCCTATAGGAGAACTATTATTTTCCATGTTAGAGGAAGAGATAGGATTTTTTATATTAGTACATTAATGAAGGAATCCCGAAAACCAACCGACGTAGGATTTGGTAGGGAGGTATTTTGCGACAGGGCTGGATTAAGGCGGGCTAACAGTGGATATACAGGACAGCATCGGACTAACCTGGTTAAAGCGCACTTGCAAGTTTGTTTAAAATTTCCTGGAGTTTCATGCTAGATATCTAAAAATAAACAATAACGAGGGCCTGAGTAGGATAGGCTTAAACTATAAATGGATTTTATGTAAAATTTGAATTCATTTCAAATGTTGGTTTGGTTTTGGTAATTTTATTAATTTGCTACCGTTGCACCTTGTGGTTTTAATTGGGGAACATATAGGTGGCACTACAAATACATAATATAAATAATTTCTCAAGCAAGCGAGATGGTTGTGAATTTATTAATGCCACCAAGTTACAAAACATGATTGAATGTTATAGCATTACTTAACATGTTAGTAATAATTCCAAGTGATTGAAGTCCCGGGTAACAGCTAGTCTAGTGCTATTATATGTAATATATCTCCCAAAATAATAAAAAAACTGAAATCCCAAAATATCCTTGCGATCAATTCGACATGAACCTTCAAATGAGTGTAACAAATGTCTCAAGTTATTTTATTTATTATTTATATTTTAGGTGCTCACTTACTTATGGTCATAGAAGGGGGTTCCAACAGAGAACTTGAATGTTGGAGGAAAATCAGGTTCTTGTTCTAAAAGTTCACTAAAAGCCTCTCCTTTTTTCATAACAGCCCTCAATTGATCATGCTCAAGAAGAGATTTTAATTCTTTTTTCAAAATCATGCGTTCAATTTCTTCTGGAGTCTTGTCATACTCTTCTAATAAACGAAAATTCAAATCTCCAGTCCAAAAAACATAACTGAAATGTAATTCAGTGGAATGATTAAAAAACTAGACAGATACAGATGATAATATATCATTCTATCTAAATTGGATAAATGCGTCAAGTGTGAAATGCAACCTGAAAATTACCAAGCTCACTAAAGCTGAGATTTTTGAAAAACTAATTGTCAAATATGAAAGTACATTCTGCAATAAGCTAGTTATTTTTGAGTATGGTAAAGATAAAGAAATCCTTACTCATGATATAATATCTTTGATGTTTCTGCAACATGAAATTCTTGATCCTGTACAATGGTATTGTAGTCATCTATTCTCTCTTTGAGCTGATTGTCATGGGCACTCAGATGAGAATTTACAAAGCACAATGAACATCCATAGAGACTTAGTCTCACACTGACTGCTCCCTTATTTCCCTAAGAAACAGACGATACTTTTAAATACTCTTTTCAGCTAGCTAGCATAATAAGTTATTTTAGTATGTAGTCACATTATGATCCTATGTTGAAACAACAATTAAACTTTGAAGCAGTGCGCAATAATTATTGTAGACAAGCAATTCCAATAAAGAAATGACCTAGGCAGTGAAGCAAACAGGCACCATAAAGATGGCATCAACTGCTGTATGTTGGACATGTAATTTCAAGTATGACAATGTAAGATGCATAACCTATATTAAGAGCACTAACCATTGAGTGCCATCAACTGATAAGTATAAAATTTCTGACACATTTTTTTTGTTCATATCAGTATCCTTACCCACATCCCCGAAAACCCAGTCCTGGTATATTCCGACTCAATTTCCCTTACATTCAACAAATGCTTTTTCAAACAGAATACAACAAGCAGAAGACCCTGCAGTCTGATAGATTTTATCTTAATATATTCTTTTCTCAACAGTTGTTTGCAACTGTATGTCCATGGATCCTCAAATAATGTATCCATCAACATGTTTTGGGGTTGTGCTTTCACCTCTTGAAATGCTAGTACATAAAAATCAGGAGACTTTTCATGTTTGTGCCCTGTCCAGGATAGCATACATTTTAGGTCATGATCAGGGTTGCTTGTACCAACATTGTATGTAGCAACATATATCCTGAATGAAAATATTACAAAATTAATCAATAGATAGATTCGAGGGTATAAAATGCAATTTGCTAATTTACCTTAAATTCTCCATTGTTTGGAGGGATGTATTCGAACACTTTATATCTCCGGTGATCTACGCAGGTACATAGGATAGTACGACACTGGCGAATTATAAATAAGTACCATTAATCAGATAAGTACACAATAAACTACTGTTTACTGGAGAACTTCTATTTGTTTTCAAAGGAGAAACGTCATGTTGACATTCTTCATGACCTTGAGCTGTCAATGGCTGTCGAGCTCCAGAGAGTATACAAGAAAAACTTGGAGAAAGAACAGACATATCGAGGTGGTGTCAAGTCACACATCTTGCATATACAGGGTGATCTCAATATGTATCTCATAAAAACGCACAACGTGCAACTTTTTCTTGATCGTTTGGATGATGTGGGGATATAAAATTGAAAAACAGTTTTAAGATTTACCGCAAATCGAGCCATAGCAGGGAAAACAGGCAAAAAGCCTTTTACTTACAGCAACGCGCAATGAGATGGGAACAACAACAATTCTCGGCGATACTGCGAGCATTTTATAGTGATATTCCGCCAGCTCACAACATTGTCATTCAATAACTTGCCAGCTGGGAATGTTAGGACCACATACGGCACGGGATTTATGTAAAGAAAACCCATAAAACCTCAAAAAAACCTACAAAATGACATTTTGCAGCCCAGGTAGTTTTTAGGGCGGAAACAGTCACTCCACATTTGCTCACTAGGATCCTTGTGAACGTCCATCTCTGGAGGAATCACTCGTTGTTGGTTGCATATTATGTTTTGTGAAGCGGAGTGATCTGTAGTTTTTATCTCTGAGAAGAAAGTTGGTTGAATAGTAAGGTCGCATCTGGATGATTATGTGTATTGGTCTGCATGTGTATAAAATCAGCGATATTTGCTGTGTGAGAAAATCATTACTGAATATGCATTCCAATGGAGTATATCTATTAGCTGTGCCCGACGAGTTATTTGTGTTGCGCTTTCTGCAGAGAGGTTATGTTCAAAGTTATAAATTACGAAAAACTTTGAGGAGAATTACGGGAAATCGCCACCGCGCCCCGGTTGTGTGTATAATTACTTTTTGCATGTATACGGCTAGTAATTCGACAGTGTACACTGAATACAATATTATTTCTTATCTCTCTCATTTTTGTAAATCAGCAAATTTGCATATGTAATTTCCAGTATGGAATTATTATCAACACATGCAACTTACAGCTTAGACCTCCAGTAATGCCACCTCTGAAGTAAATTCTTCATCTCATCCGAGCCTGAAGCCTCATGACGTTCAGGCAACACGTACAACTAAGTGCTAAGTTAACATCCTGTAGAAAAACCTACATACTGTAAAAAAAATGATATAACGTCACTTTTCATCACCTACCCCAAGAAGAATTCTGCAGCATTCCCAGCTATCAGGACACACATACTGCCCTAAGCTAAAATTACTGTTGAACTTCTTTACTTATATTTGAACAGAAAATTCTATATCGTCAGCGTTCTAATGGAAATATTGAAAGTGTAGAATAAAAGAACAATTTGAATGAATTTTAATATACCGTAAACCATAGTGACGTGCTCTCAGAAAAGGCATACCGATAAGTCCTCAGAGTATGGTATAGATTTTGACAAAAACCGTCGGTTTCGTATAATTTAAGTGACTCCATTAGACCTCGATCAAGCTCCTAAACCGAGATCAACCACGGTCCAACGATGAATATGGGATTTCACATTCACTGACATTACTGATTTTGCTTCACGTATCTGTGGTGAAACTAGTAACAGACTGATCGACATCAAAAAATCGGTTAAACATGACCAGAGATCACATAAAGTAAGATCCTCTATTTAGTGAAATCTGCATTAGATGAATCCAACTTTGTACTTGATAACGCTTTTTGCTCAATCAAGCACGACACTAGCGCTCCAAGAGGCCAGCGCAGAGTACCAATATTTCTTCATGGAGCTATCGCTCTCGTTTTACTTTTGCTGTGTGAAGCGACTGTCAGCCGTCACTCTGACAGTTTTGTGTATTATGTTTTGTGTTTTTGTTGTCTTTGCTTTTGTTTATTTGCAAAAAAAGTAAACCCGGCTGTTCAAAATACTTTAGAATGCCTTTAAAATAGTTTAGATATACATTATAAACACCATGGATTGCTTTACCACTGCTACTCCCTCGTGCCATTGCCCTGAGGGACACGAGAACGTGATACAATTTTTAAATGTATGTAAAACTTGGAAAAACTAGCCAGATGGCCTTTACTTGCAACACAACTGTGTGGTTTTATTTTAATCGATTATCATTTTTAGTCGAAAGTTGAAGCTTTATACTCGTACCGTGATAGGTTTTTTGAAAACCATAAAATAGAAGATGCAATTTTGAAAAATGAGGAAGTTGAAAAGTTACTGCAAACCACAAAGCAGATATTCAATCATCATGAGGGTCTGATAAAAGATGAAGACAGAGCCCAATACAACTTCTTGATAGGGAAAATGCTAAATGTTGTTCCTAGCTATGATAAGCTTGCAGAAAATTATCTATCAAAAGCGATTAAACTTGATCCTAAGTTAGTTGAAGCATGGAATGAATTGGGCGAATGCTACTGGAAAAATGATGATATAGGGAAGTCTACCAATTGCTATGAAAGGGCGCTTAAGGAGGTATGAGTATTAAAATTTCAATTTTACTGATCATCATCATAACTTTTATTTGCTATCTATATAGTTGCTGTTATAGTTCATATTTAACATTCTTAAAATGAAATATTGACACTTAAATAGAAATTTCGTTTCAAATACTCCAATATATTGCTAATATTATACTCTTTCAACTTTTTTTGGCCTCCAGGATGCTTTTTTTTTATACTTGAAACAACTCCAAAACCTAAGGATCAAACATCCATGGGTACCTACAGTAGGGCTATAGCATGTACATGGTTATAATGCTTTAATGGTTCTTAATGTTTATACAGAATTGGTTATATGTTAATATGCTTTACACCAACAGTTTGTGATAAGGAGGCTCGTATACATTTACACTCTTTGGCTTCATATCTTGCATTTTTATACTTTGTGACTAAGATGATCAAATCACAAAATATCTTATTAGTGATTGAGTATGCTTAGCCAAAGTGGCTGTCAAATTTACTAGTTTTATATTAAGCACCGTCGAAGCTATTCCACAGCTAATGTTATTCATCATAAAAGCACTGGACCACTTTACATTGATTGAATTGTGCTGTATACCTTCCCTTGATGCATATGACGCACTCTCAGAGTGATTAGTTAAACATGTTTTAATTTTGTCCTTAGCAAAAAAACAAAATTTCCTTGAGAAGCCTGTCAATGCTAGCTAGACAATCAAGAGCAATCAGTGCAGATGAAAAAATGAAAAACATAGCTAAAGGCTTAAATTATGCTAAAGAGGCAGTTCAGCTGGACCCCCAAGATGGACTTTCATGGGCTATACTAGGCAATGCACATCTATCATCATTTTTTGGTATCCAGCAGAATCCTGCAATATTGAAAAAATGTTTGAGTGCATATGCACAAGCAGTAAGTACATATTTTTCAATAAAGCATGTTACATGAAGATATAGGTTAACATTGACTCGTTCCACCATATTTTACATGGGCAGGAAGTGATTTATGCTATTCAAAATATCAACAATGACAAAAGCCATGTTGAAAACATGGGTTTCAGAATTTGTTATTCCATGTGACAAAACACTCTGTAATATGACACAACACAATGGGCTGTGTTATATGAGCGCTTAGAGCAGCACTAGTGATTGCAGTATAAACATCAAAGGTTTAGCTTAGTGCACAGCTGGAATGGGCTATTGCTACATCATCTGTTTAATTTCACAATCATTACATCTTAACATTGCTACATGACAAGCATATCGGCTGCCTGTAATCTGTCTTGCATAACACAGTTCATCTCTGAAGTTACAGATTAACAAGGACAAGTAGATATGGTTTATACTGATTTTTACTCTTTGACTCAGTTGATCATTTCTTACCTTTGTCATAGTTGAGTGCAGTAGGATTATCTAATGGTTTAGTTTCACTTATGGAATCATCTTACAAATAGAACTCAAAGGGTGAGGGTCGGACATCATTTTTTTTTATTTACACTTCAAGGTTGCCTCAGGGATCTAACATATCCCCTATTATTTATAATATATTAAAGACCTAGCATCACAGTTATTGTTATTCCTGGGATTGAGTGCAAACGTGTATTGTTATTATTATTATTATTCTTGAAACGCTGCAGTTGGATCCATAAAACAGCATCCAACATCCTGTGCTTAGCTACCAACATGGCCACTGTCTAGTGTCCAAAATGTGCCCATTACTTTAATTTCAGCATTGATATTATGAATTAGGACTATGCATGAAATTATAGGTGTTTCTCATATCAGATAGATTCATATTGAGTGCAAGCAAACTAATTTTAAATTCATTATTCAACAGGAAAAAGACTTGATTGCTAGAACTACACCTGACGTCCATTATAATAAGGGAATAGTAAGTTACAAGGACCAGCCCCCTTTATAATTTCTCATTAGTTCTTTCACCTTCATTTTAGACGTTAAAATATGAAGAAGAGTATGAACTAGCTCTTGAGTCATTTAACAATGCTTCCATGTTTGATCCTACTTGGGATCCTCCTAGACTCAAGGAGCAACAGTTAGTGAGATATTTAAAGGATATTCAGGAATTTGCGATGAGTAGTGGAAAAATGAAAGCCAAAAGACTGCAACAGTTGCTACAGGTGAGCTTCAATATCCCACCAATGATCGTGAGGTCACTTCCAAAAAGACTTAATTTTAGCATATTTGTTTTTGTTTAAAATGATTCTCTCAACTTTATTTTGTAGAATTTGTAATTTTGAAAATATGTTTTCATTTGCTGTAAACAAAATACACTAATAAATGGGGAAAAATTATGGGCTTATACACAGTTTTTTTTTCGGAATACACAGTGAGATTATGGGAAACTATAGAAGTGATTTACCTTTTTTTATATTTTCTAAATAATGTACTGATAATGCTATTGAAGCTGTAGTTTATTACCCACACATGTATATATAGTCTGATATTTAAGTGATTTGAATACTTCCATTTTTTCATCATTAATCATGAGCCTAATTGTATTGCCACAATGTTTCTCTATTGACATACATTTTGTTTTATCAGTGTTTAACTTGAGCTTATTAACATTTAACCAATTCATTATGTTTTTAGTATTACTACAGTACCAAAGCAGTGTCCAAATGGTTATGATCTATATATATCAATGTATCATCCGCAAATATTTGAATTCTGCAGTGTTCTAAAATGTCAGAGTTTTTTATATAAAATGTATAGCAGCAGGCCTAATTTATTCCACTGTGGCACCTCTACTAATATATTTTGGACGCATCCTATTATACCAAAAGATCTATTATTTTTAAATGTCAGAAGTTGTTTCAAGTTTTGCACAATTTTTGTTGCATTCCAATAGTGCAGTAATTTAGCTTTATTGCAGTAAATAGTATGATCTCATTTATTTTCAGGCAATAGATTTCAAACAGTTAGGGCCTTACTATGGTGGAAGCTATACATCCACCACAGTCAACGAAACTGTAAAATTAGAACTTTGCAAATTATCAGAATTGAAAGCTGGTGTGAATGCAGAGAAGGTTGTTTTAGGAAAGGTGGTCTGTTCTGTGAGGAATGAGGATGTTGTGCCATTGTAAGTAGATTGATCACTGATTGATAGATCCTTGTGTTTTGGCCTTTTACTGCGCCTTTTCTGGTTAGGTGTGGGACTAATCTTTATAATTAGTCAGAATCCACTGTTTAAGTAAATGAGACAAGTTCTACAAAATCGGGGTTGCCCTCCACTGAAGATAAGTTGCAACAGTTCATATATCTATTATCAGCCTTGCAATTTAAACATCATGATTGGCTGTTACTCTGGAAAAATCAACACATTTGTAGGTTTAAAAGACTCCTAGAGAAATGTACAAAGTACAGTTGTTGCTGAAGATGTGTGCTTCACAGATATTTTGTCATATTGTTACATTTTAGATTATAATGTAACATCTGAAACTTATCATGTGGTTTTCATGTTGATAATACCTCATGTTTGTCTGGCCAATCAAAATCACAGGTGTTTAAAATTCTTTATTGAATGACGTTTCGGTTGCAGTGATGAACTTCTTCAAGTTCAGTTGACATTTATTGGCAATATATTTTATTCTCCCACGTGACACTTCCTTTGTTTTTTCCTTTCATTTCACATTATTATACAGTGTGGTACGATAGGGTGCGGCAGAGAGGACGGATGTTTTTGAGATGGGTAGTACTATCCGCCTCCGTCTACGAGAGAGGTGGGGAGGGTGCCGTTTGACTCGTGAGATCCTAGCATTATTTTACCAGTTGTCGTTATGGAGCCTTGGACGGTGGAGCACCGCGTTTTCGCCTATGATTGTTTCGTCCGAAATAATGAGTCAGTCATCGTCGTACAGCGTGAGTTTCGTCGCCACTTCAACATTCATCGGAATAGAGTTGTTCCCTCTCGGAACACCATCCTTCGTTGGGTTGAATCACTTTGCAGGCGTGGTGAACTGATCAACAGAAGACCAAGAGGAGCCCGCGAACAGTTCGAACTCCTGAAAATGTTGAACGCGTTCGACAGTTCTTTTTTCGCAGTTCGACTCGATCTGCCCGGAAACATGCTGCTGCACTTCGCCTTAGTGATCGTTCGGTAAGGCGAATTTTGCTTATGGATCTCCGCTTTCACCCGTACAAATTGGCCATTGTGCAACAGTTACAACCCGAAGATTATGCACAACGAATGAACTTCGCACGTGAGATGGAAGCACTGATCGATCAAAATGAGAACCTCCAGCACTGCATCAATGATTTCGGCCACCACGTGCCTGATGTGATTTTCCACACTTGACTGTCTCAAATGCTTGTGAATCCTTGTGAACCTGATTCCATCAATAAATTTGTTTTCAAGTAAAAATTAACTATTTTATGATTTTTTTAAAACCGTCCATCCTCTCTGCCGCATCCTGTACAATAGTCTGAAAGGTACTGTAACATGCTGAGATTGTGCGAAGCCATCATTGTAATTTTAAGATGGTACCGCGCAAAATCAGAAAACCCAGGACCGCCTGGTGTAGGCCTTTCCTTACACAAAAGCGACAAGCGAGCATGAAAAATGTCAAAAGTTATCAGAAAACGTGAAAACCCATCCACAAACAACTTGGGTTCCCTTTAGATGTCGAGGTACTATTTCTCGCATTTCAGGTTCATAATGCATATGCAGCATTCTATTCGAAGATTGCGTAGCAACTGACCGGTGTGTTACGACAACAGTTCTAGCTATGTTTTCACGTTTTTGGAGGACTTTTGGCATTTTCTGGACGATGGACGGGGGTGACGCGACTGGTCAACAAATTCGAATAGATTAGAAGGAGCCAAGCCTAAAAGTTTACATTGCATTGTGTGTTGCGAAAATTGCGTAGTTTTAGTGCATACTTATGACTTACTTGACTACTAATGATTACCAAAGTGACAGCATTGTATTAAGAATAATAATAATACTTACCAGTTGAAACATCTACCTTCACTAGACTTGTGCTGCTCTATGAAAATTATGTAAGATGAACTATGCTGTGAAATAATCTAACACTAGAATTATCTGAAAACAGTCGTACTTGTAAAAAATAATACAAAAAATACGAATTTGATGGCAGAGCTGTCCAAAAATTGACTCATGTCTGGTGCACTTTGATCCTCACTACGTTCTGTGAGAATTAAGAGACAAACAAATCCTTGACTGACTCCTTCTACCTAGTCTGAATTTGTTGCGTCTGACACTTTGCGGGCCTTCCTTCGGAACATGAATGCCTAACCCAGGCGGTAGGCGGTCCTGCGTTTTGCTGGTTTTGCGCAGTACCATCTTGAAATTAGAATCATGGCTTCCACATTCTCAGCATTTTACCAACCCTATCAGACTATTGTACTCACACACTGTATAGAAATGCGAAAATGAAAATGAAAAAAATCGAACGGAAAATTGGAAACGAAACGTCGTTCAATAAAGAGGAATTTTAATCATGGGGGATGATTTTAGTTTATGTTTCCAGTACTTTTTGCATGGTGGATAAGGACGGAACCTGTGTGGTCGTGACTGTCTTCAATCTAGCAGCTGGAAAAGGTTACATAATTGGCGATTCAGTCGCTATCCCCGAACCATTTGTTACAGATGTGAATTTTTGTTATAAAGGTGATGTGAGTACCACCTTAATATAGTAGCAGTAGTAGTTTAGCATAAATGGCTACATAAGCAATTGGAAGTAATACATGACAATAATTAATTCAAACCATATGATCCATCGTCATATTTGGAATTCTAACGCAGAGTTTCTCAAATTTGATTAAATTCTTTAGGTTATTTTGTCGTTTGGTATCTAATCTGATCTAATTTGTTGTAATCTATTAGGCATCTATGTAAAACCTATTTCGTACTTATACTGCGTAGTATCATAAAAATTATAGTTGGCTTTTCCAGAAGTTGAATCATTTTTCATTTTATCAATAAGCAACTGTTTAATGGTATGCCGTTTTAATGTACTGAGTATTTGATTGATTGGCGTATATTTATTTTTATTCAGTAATATTCTTGAACGTGCAAAATCTGTAAACCTTGGAAATCGGATATAAAACATTTGCGCTATACAATTTGACAGTACAATTGTATTATAAATGATTTTCTTACTCTTGTAAATACGTGCCTACTTTACTACTAACTCTTCTGATAATTTTTTCATAGTTTCATGAAAAATTCAAGTGTCAAGAATTATGCTAAAGTATTTTAAAGAATCTATAAAATCAACGTTTTTGCCACTAATATTTACGACAAAATTTTTTATTTATCGATTCGAGTATGGCATGTTGTACGCCACTACCTGAAGGATCTCTTCACTAGCTTCTAGTTGTTGCCTGCAGTGATGAGCACATTTTTTGACACTGTATTGGCATATTCATTGGAACTTAAATACAATTTTTTTGCCTAGAAATTCGACTTCAGAATGATCAGAGTGGAAGCACCGGTTGTCCTAGTTGTCAATGGGAAGAAAGTGACCCGAGACCAGCAGGCAGGTGTAACTTTGTCCATTTTTAAAAAGTACGACTGAACAAGACAATCGGAGCTTTACGCAGAAGTGGTGCTGCAGGAAACGCGATAACTGACCCGCTTATTAAAAGAAGATGAGATAAATCAAAAGAATGTAACCCTGTAACGTCTTTGAGAAACCTTTATGTATGCTAATTTATTACTTTTTTTACTTGCATGCTGATTGTTTAATAAATTTTTTTTTTACATGAACTGTTTCTATAGAATAACTTTATCGGTTAGTTTTCTACCAGAATAATATAACTTCGATGTATGAATTCGTGCTTTTAACCAACGCGTCGCGTAGCTCCTCGAGTTGATGTGTCTTCTGGTACATCACAATAGTGAAATCACACAGCTATGACATATTGCATATCTCATCGTCTCGGAAATTCGATAAACGCTTCGGTTAAAACCGACGTGTCTACTCGTATCAATAGCTAAACATGTTATAAAATTGCCTAAGCATACAAATCCTCGCACAATTACATTTTCCTGGTTCTGTGATCCTGATACATAATTTTTAAGTGATGGAAACCATGTCAGATCATTCCAACATCGCAGAAGCGCTAGGATGCAGGATACAGCAGCATAAGTTTACTTTTTCAAAACTTAACAAAGCCCATTGTATAAATCGGAACATTTTTATTTGTTTGTTAGAATGCAGGCGCATGCCTAAAGTTTTGTTTTATATAGTTTTGAAGATTAAATCAGATACGTGGCAATTTCTTCCTGGATGTTGGTATTCAAATCGTGTAGGATCCTTGGACGGTTCACATAAACACGGGATTTCAAAAAATCAGTAGTGGCCAAATCCAGTCCATAATTGACATGAGGCGCTCTGGGAGGTATTCCCTCAAAACAGCTATCGATGCCCTTTAACTTTGTGCCGGCCCGAATTCACTAAATCTGCGACTTCATTTTCCTTAAAGAACCACTGACCAATAATTTCAGGTAAGGGGGACTGCGTACCACACTGGGATTTTAGGTGAATGCAAACGCTTTTGATGCATTTCTCCACACAAATGAAAATGGGCTTCATTACTAAAATAACAATAGCGTCCTGCGGAACGATTTCGGGAAGCTGACGTTCAGAAAGTTCCTGTACAATTGCCATCTTGTAAGAATGGAAATGAAGATCATCATCAAGAGTTCTCCTCACAGAACGATGGGAAAGTTCAAAGGTAGAGGCATGTTTGACCGCAGAACGCCGTGGTGATCACAACATTTATGCTCTTATTGCCTCAATGGCTAAATTAAAGCGATTCCGAATGGCTGGGTTGCGATCACAGATCAGCTTGAAAAGTAGATCTGAACGACAAAAGCACGCTCCCATTCCAACGCATGATGGCGACTGAACTGTATCGGGGTACAACTTTATAGTCCCGCCTCTCGAACGAGACCACTGTCTAGCGGACCACAACCATTTTGAAATATGATGTTATGCTGTTGCACCCTCTAGCTTATGTCACGCAAGTGTGAATATGATTCTATTCAAGTCTTGTAGTGAGACTTATTTCGGTGTTCTAGATACAACGCTAACGTGGTATGCCCTCTTATGCAACCTTCCATCCTACGGCCTCCCAGAGAAGCTTTGCAGATGGGGTGCTGCCGCCCCGACTACATTATCCATGCTCGATATGGTTCAGAAGAGGGCTGACCGACTGAACGATGGCTCTTCTCTAATGGACAGCGTCGGGACCCTTTCGCACCGCCGACCGCCGGTAATTTAGCTGATTTCTGGCGCTATGTCAACGGGGTTTGCTCCTTAAATCTCTCCTTGATACTGCTGCGCAATGTTGCTGCTAGATAGACCCGCCTGACTTTGGCCTCCCATCCTAACCGTGTCGAACTTCGTACATCAGACCTGGCCAATACGACTGCTTCTTTGTTCCTATAAGTCAGCGTGTTATCAATATAGCCAAGTAGAATCAAAACAAGGTTTTTTAGATCTTATTCATTTATATGATTTAGTTCTCTTACAGGTTTTTTCAATACACATTTGGGGGAATGGGTCAATTTGGCAATAGATTAATATGTTACCTACTTATACAAAAATAGTCTTAAAAATATATCTACATTACTATCACATTTCAAAGGGAAATAATTTATTACAAAGTATCAGTTTGTCCCATTCTGTAGGCCCGGTACTTTCGTGTAGTTTCATGTCAGTGTCATAAGATGATAAGCTACTTCATTTGGACTACAGATGCATTCATATTAATCATGATGTTCAGACCAATGCTGGGTTGAGTATGGCTTTGATAAGAGGTTCACTGACTGCTTACTCTCTTAATGGTCTTTATTGCAATTTTGGATTTCTTATTGTTTTCAGACAGAAGACCGTGAAGAAACTTTATGGTGAATAGCTTTTGAATTATTAATAAACTGTAGTTTTCAAAAACTAATAAACACGCTAAAGCGTTAAAATATGAAATTGAACTAAAAAGTAGAACAGAGTATAGGAGAGTTTATGTTACTGCAATAGAAAGTCCAATAATTAAGTATGACTCATTAATTTGAAAAGGATCAATATAAAAAAGAAATGAACAAAAATTTGAAGTATGGTGAAAAAGGATGGGGTGCTTGATATTAAATGTTAAAATCTTAATTTAGTTGCTATTTTAAAAATGGGAGTTATCATGGAAATATCCACCCCACGCTTTTTTTACTATAATTGAATTTTTTTGTTGATATCTTAATTTTTATATATTATTCCAAATTAATTAGTCATACTAGATTGTTCAACTTTCTATTGCAGGTAACAGAAACTCTCCGATACTTCCAAATTATTAACAACCTTTTAGTTTGATTAATTAAGAGTGTTTTTGTAAACTATAATTTCAACATCTTCGAATTAGTTTCCGAATTTTCCAAATTAAATTTTCAGATAATTTTTTTCCAAATTCAACGTAATTTTTTTTTAAATTCAAATTAATCAGACTTCCTGTAGTTGTTAAGAATTAGGTTGCGTTACTACATTAATACAGTACAGGTAAGTGTGCTAAAAAGTAGTATTTTATAGATCTCAACACGTAGAACCAAAGTGACCATGGACCTAAGGTTTTTCCGCAAGTAGTTTCCAAGGGCTAAGTTGAGTCCGTACCCAATTGCAGTACACTGTGGGTTTGATACATTATATATGTAATAGGTATTTATTTACGTCATTATCAGCATCATCCGTACTGGCTGGTTCAGCAACTTTGCAATTCGGTCACATGTACAGGGTGGCCCAAACTTGCATAGATAGAGTATTTCTCCGAGACACAAAAAATATTCAGGACTATTCTGCAACGTCCTTTTGGGAACACGCTTTAAACTGCTCCTGATTATACAGGGTATCCAAAGAGTAAGCTGGATATCAAAGTTGTTGGTGAAATGTATTGAAAATCTTTGTGTTCACTCGATCCATGCAAATTTGATCCACCGTGTACATAAGACAAGAACGTAAATTAATATCAAATACAGCTATTACATCGTCAGTTTGGAAGAAGACTGTCAGTACCCAAAATTGATGAATATATTTAACAGAAGGGATTTGGAACAGTCTTCCACATATAGAAATACAGCTTTAGTAAAGTCTTCGCTTAATAAATGATGCGGTTACAAAGTAAATTTAATTTACACCAGTATTCCTAATAATAAGGATTATTTAGAGTTAGTTGGTCAGATGTGTTTGAAATGGCAATGAGTCTTATTCCAAATCGACAAAATATCTTGTGTTGAACCCAAAATTTGCTAAAGTAGGGCTCAGATTGCCCTTGAAAAATATTCGTGGAAAAACTTTAGACCTATGGACATTTTTGTTTTAAGTGTTGAGACCTACAGCATACTTTTAACAAAATTGCCGAAAGCTATTCGCTGTAAGGTTGCTGCGAGTTTTTTTTTATAGATCATGTGATTCAGTTGTAAAGAAAATACCGAAGTTTCAACAAAGAAGTGTGACTTGTTTCTTTTATTCAAAGCATATTCGTACCCCAGGATTTATGTTTATGATACTTTTTGCATTTTCTGTAGTCTGGTAAAGATTCACAAAGTAGGATAGCTACAGCCTCCACTTTCATTCATTCATTCAAAATATTTATTATACTGTCGGTGGCCGACACACTTTTGGGGCAGATATGGACGTAAGACGATTGCTTTATGCAATATTTGTACGCAGTTTCACAAAAACGAACGCAGAGATATTGCGAACATCCCTATAAATCAATCATATGATTTTTACTGTACCATTTTGGATGCGGCACAGAACACATTTGAGCCCAAAATCTTGGGATTTATCTTATTATCAGCGAGCAGCTAAATAGATCATTCTGCAGTCTTCACCAGAAGGCAATCGCTAAATTGAATCTGTTAGAATGGTTGGACACTATAAATTGCTTTCCCATAGCTTCAAAAAGTTGTCCAACACTTCCTCGAACCATTTCCGCTTAGCTGGATCTTTGAATGCTGGAGCGATCGTTTTCATGCCTATTTCAAGTATTGCTTCATTGCCTAGCATGCTGTTCAGTTTCGCCAGCAGTTTTGAATCACCTGGAGAGATACAATAAATATGTTATATTTCTCGTTTGCATTGAAACATGCTTTTGGAGTTAGATGAATGTCAAAAAACAGTATTTCCTTGGAATCTGAGATTTATTGACCATGTAGCCAGAAAGTCAGTAAAATTTGACGTATGTGGTACGTTTGTAAATCATTTGGTAACATATATCGTGCAGAGTAATGGAATGTAGATTGACAGATGAAATTTAACTCTTAACCTTATTTTTGGAACGCCTAATTATTACAGTCATGTTCACCCTATTTCACGAGTATCCATCACGTTTTGACATCTACTGAGGTGAACAGCTGATCAGCTAGTGACATTTTTGTGTTAGTCTGCAACGTTGACTATAAGGAATCCGGTGTAAATCTAGCAAAAAAATTTTTGTAGCGTTCTATTTTTTGTATGCAAATGAACTTTTATAAATAAAAGAGCTTTCATCTAGTACAAAATGAATATGTAGCGTACAAAAACCAAAACAAAATATGGCTCTGTCTACCTGGGATTGACAAATCCGTCAGAATTATGTGTCCTTTGCCGATATGGGGAATTTTGAAATATTACTAGATAACCAGCAGTCATTCTACCATGATAGATACTCGTGAAATAGGGTTTAATGACACTTGATGAAAGCCGACTAATTTATAACCAGATTTTCTGCGACCATTATTTTAATTATAAGAAACACGAGGTAGCCCATTCATCGTGAAATATAATACTCTGCAAATTTTGAGCACTTTTTTAACGAAATAAAGTAAACAAATAATCAAACATGAGAATGACAATAGACCACGCATTTATTCCCAAGGTATTGAGCTCAAGTAGAAAAGTGCACCTTTGAGATTCCAGAAGGATTAATTAGTTCTATTTCCAAACGCATGGAATAGATACATCTAACACGAACGCTGACATTGTTACAGAGTTGTACAAAGTAGGTACACTCTGTAACAACTGATCTCCATTTATGACTAAAAGTTCCATTACTATTCGTCATTATTCGTCAGAGCGGTCCGGTGGACCTTTGCTCTTAGTTAAAAGTCTCGTCGGTCTGTTAGTCTGTCAGATCTGGCTACCCAGATACCAAACATGTTTAAAGGGAAAAGGGAAAGAAGGAAAGAAAGGAAAGAAGAAATAGAGCAAAGGAAAGAAGTAAATCATTTGAAATAGCTTAAGCATTTGACTACTCGAATTATTTTGTGACTCCAAAAAATAATTTTGATCGGTTTTGTATACTGAAATAATTTTGGCAGGTCTGAATTTACAATTTAATTTTGATTACAGTGCGAGGCGCGGCCTGGAATGTTTGCGAACTTGCTCGACTGTGTAGTCTACTGAATCACGCAACAGAGGGTTGCTGTGCGATTCCGCTTGGAGTTCCATTTCACAACTCCAAAATTATATTCCTGTCATGTTAATATTGACTTAGAAATTTTCCACAAATATTAGGTATGTCAAATATAGTACAATTTTAATTCAATATTTCTGCTGTTGAAATCGACAGTGTCTTAAACTTTATGTGAAAAACACATACACCTAGCAGATGCAAAACAAAATATTTACTTCACAGGGTACCCGGTAGTCTGATTTCTAACAAAAGTAGTACGGAGTGCATCAATAGTAATTACTCATGTGGCCATAAGAAAATCTCTCATATTTTTCTGGTCTTCAACGTACCATGAATTTTCAACAGAGAAGGATAGGTGAAGATATAGTAGTTGTTCTTCAGCTTGTACGACGCCCAGTTGGCCACAGACCGATTTCCACTTGCTACTTTGATTGTGCCCATGTGTTCTGCGTACCATGGGCTGAAGTACTGAGATAGCTCTTGGTTTTGTATGTGAGCGATTCCTTGGGTCTTCAGACGGTCTTTGATCTGTTGGTAAGTCGTTTTGTTGAAGACAAATACCTGAAAATAAGGAGGGTGATGTAAAAACAGTCACGATAACCGGCGTTTATATATCATCGATAAAATGGGTCGCATGGGTCAAATTTGGGGTTTGTTTCTATTAAGCCGAACAGTTGGTCCCAACCGCATGTCGTTTAGGTATCATTGAGGTTTTCTGTTCACTACGCTCGAATAAAGGGTCAATTTGTCACTATAGGGGCAGCTGAAGTTCATTTAAAGGTTACTTCAAGGACACATTCAACATACACCCTATTTCCCGAGTATCCATCATGGGACAATGACAGATAGTTATCTAGTAATGTTTCAAAATTCCTCATATCCGCACAGGACACATAATTAATTCCGAGGGATCGGTTAACTCCAGGTAGATAGAACCGTATTCTGTTGTGGTTCTTTGTACGCTCTAAAGGCGTGTTATTGAAAATCGTCAGCCATTCATTATGAATCTGGTTGGGTCTGATGAGGATAGTGTAAATAGTTGTTTTAGTGACTAGCGTAGTGGGATTGCGTCTAATGCGCCTACTATGTACTAACTCCACAATTACTTTTTAGTTACTGTGAAAGGACACGTGTCTGTAACTTAATTTGCAGGTTGGGTCTTCAGACCAGTCCTTTTACATCAGGGTGGTATTTTAAACAAGCTGGATTCATTATTAATTTTTATGACAGGCTCTGCACATACTTAATCTGTAAAATTGAATTACGTTATACTGATGACGGACAATAAACCAGGAACACGTGTGTATATCATTTTTACAGGTAAATTTACAGCTTTTGGAAAGGACCACGTAACCTGTTCTATTGAAATACCATGTAATCAATAAATCCCAGATGTACTATAATAATTTTCTAATAAACTTTTCTATACCTGTACTTTTACATGTTATTGTCACATTTCCCACCCACTTAAAAATATAATCCTGATATGTGAACAGCAGCTCTGAATACGGTCCCGAAATTCGTCATTGCCAACGTAACAAATTAACACAAAGATTGTGTAAGTCTACCATTCGAGTTCAGACGCGTGTCATATAGTTTTTCGCGGTCGTTGAATCCAATTCAGAAATCGATTTGCCTTTAGAGAATTTTAAGGAAACTCAAAAGACAAAAAGCTAAATAACCGTTCCCGACCACCTGCCATAATGCATATACTTACATATGCTTATATGAACCGACAAAAAAATATGGATATTTGGGGACGCCATTTGATGATTTTTGGTGGAAATTGCAATGCTACGGTTTCCGAGATATGATTTTTTTTGTTTTTTTTCTGAATTACCTATAATGGCGCAGAACTATCGTGATAACTGTTTTGTTTGTTGAGATAATAACACAAGATAAATTCGAGTCGATTATGTATAGCGTACTGAATCGGATGAGATCGATGGTTTGCACAAAGCTTCTCCACAAAATTACTTATGACCTTCCAAAGTCGTAAAATAGCGCGGAGTGAATAAACAACATTGAATTCAAAATTCGATTACAAAAAAACTATAACTCTGGTGATACTTAGTTTTATTCCAGAAAGTTCCGTGTTTCGATAAACGAGAAAACAGCTGATTAGGTTCAGGAATAAAGAATTTATTTTTTAAATGTTTCACGTTTTAATTTGATGTTAACATATCATGAGGTATTTTCGAAATTACTGCCTTCATTTATGAGACATGCTCGGTATCTTGTTCGTATTTCGACGGTTGTTGTGTGTAACAGGATCTCTTCCTTCATCTGACGAAAGGCAGCTTCAATCCTTTGGATTAGCACCTCTCTGTTGGGTACCTCTGCCACATACGCCAATTCCTTCGCTTGGTCCCAGACGTAGAAGTCCAAAGGTGTCAGGTCTGGAGACCGTGGTGGCCAAGATATAGGACCACCCCTACCAATCCAGGCGTTTGGAAACGCATTGTCCAAAAACTGTCGAACGGTTTGGACGTAATGTGCGGGGCAGCCATCATGCTGGAAAATAATGGGTGCATCGGGTAAAATTGGTAGCAGAAGATCAGGCAACGCAGTCTGCAGGAATTCCAGGTAATTTTAACCATTTAGCCGGTCTGGCAAAAAATAAGGTCCTATCAGAGTCCGTCCAATAACGCCGGCCCCACACGTTGACGCTGAATCGTCTTTGAAATGAGCACTGTCTTTTCTTGTGTGGGTTCTGGCCCCGGTCTGCCCAATAGTGTAGATTGGTTGAAGCTGGACTCATCTGTCCACAAGATCCTCTTCAAAAAGCTACCGTCGACCACGTCCATGTGAAGAATGAATCTGCAGAACTCCTGCCTTCTCGTACTGTCACCTTCGTCCAGACCTGTAACATAAATACGCATACGGTTAGCACAACTGCAGATGTGTCAAACTTCACAAGGGCTAATTTTTATGACCATAGACTATTTTATGACTATGATATTGACAAGCTGTATACACGTGTTCATAAGAAATAAGGATTTCAACTCTTATGCTTGTGACTGTGATTATGAGAATGATTATTAAAATGTTGCATAAACCTGACAAAACTTAAAATTATATTACCTTGTACAGGACAATAATGAAATGGATATTTTCTGTTTGCCTGTAACATAGACCAAACTTTTTTCACCAAGCAAGTTTTTCAGCCACAACCCGAATACTTGTGGTAGGATCCGCATCATATGCTCTTAGGATTTGCTCATCAGTCGCAACACTGAGTTGTCGACCACTCACTCTGGGCTCTCGAAAATTAACGCTCCCAGTCTCTCTCAGTCACCGATATGTTGTTGCGAAGGTTCCATGGTGAGGTAACTGCCGGTATCGCTCCTGGTAAAGTCTTTGCGTTTCATGTGAATTGCAGTTAGCACTGCCATAAGCTAGCAACATATCAGCATAATCCCCGTTACTGTACCTTGGCATTATGACAACAAAACTTGATAATGACGGTGAAAATGCTAACAATAACAAAAACAGAGACAACAAAATCAAACGCAAATACACCTCTGGTATGAGGTCAAAGCTCGAATAGCCCTAATTTCGTAATGCACTCTTTTATCTATGACATGATGACGATCGTAATTGAAATGTAATTATGAGGTAAGCTCAGGAGTCGGACATGGGCAAGTTTATCTGGACCCAGAATACATACCTGGCAGGTTATGGGATTAGACATTAATGGCAGTTGTCATTAATACCCTAAGACGTGTTATGTTAATCCAGGTATCGGATGTCATTAACTTCAAACCCACCTGCATAAGGGGTTTTCGTAATCTGTGTACTGCCTGGCCCTTGCTAACTTCATTATTCTCAACAAGTGGAGGCAGTAATTTCGAAAGGACTGATTCAATTTACACAAAAATGTATAAATCGCACAAAAAAGATTAGCTCGACACACTGTTTCCTGTAATTTTGACCACTAAACAAATTGTTTCTATGATGTGTAGCATATCATTGGAAAGGCAAAAAAACACGGAACTTTTTGGAATAAAACTAAGTATCACCAGAGATATAGTTTCTTTCTAACCGAATTTTGAATTATTGTTGTTTATTCACTCCGCGCTATTTTACGACTCTGGAAGGTCATAATTCATTTTATGGAGAAGCTTTGTACAAACCATTGATCTCATCTGATTCAGTATGCTATACAGAATCGACTCAAATTTTTCTTGTGTTATTATGTCGAAAATTAAAAAAGTTATCACCATAGCTCTGCGCCATTGTAGGTAATTCAGCAAAAAAAAAACGAAAAAAATCATATCTTGGAAACCGTAGCCCTTAGAGCATTACGGTTTCCACCACAAATAATCAAATAGTGTCACCAATTACCCATATTTTTTTGTCGGTTCATGTAAAAAATCGTAGTCTCATTATTATGCGATATTCAGATGGTAAACAACGCAACCGTTGAAACAGAAGTTCTCCAATTTTGCTATTAAAAGTTAGTGGCGAACGATATACCATAAACTTCAAGTTTAATAGTCAGCCAAGGTAAAGGTAGTGTGACCAAAGTTCTGATTCCATGGCCAACTTATTGGTTAAGGTATTAACTTTCAAATAGGTACCTACGCATTTTTATTTATTTTCGATACTTGGTTTTTTAATTTTTTCATCATTGTGCGGCGCAACGATGAAAACATATACTTATTTCTGTCCTGGAAGAGCTTTAAATTGAGTTAGGCATGTATCTTCTGATGGAATATGCCAGTAAATGGTAGTGGGTAGAAGGGCATAGTTTTGTGACTAACTATTGAATATCTTTTAGATCATCTGTGCTATATACCAACTACAGTCCAAAAACATATTGTATATGTATTTACATATGCTAAATTAGTTGTGATCTATCAGTGATCTGTACCAAAGAGCAGCTGTCTGTACCATGCACGTGTTCTTAAAATTGCGAAATTTGACATGCTAATTTAACCAAATCTGTAGGGTTATATCAGACGGGATTTTTCCGAGACATTTACGTAATTTCGCGCATATGTTCGTTATTTTAGCGGTTTAGGTGGCAAGGCGGCATTCTTCGCATGGACCAATTTATTAGGACTCAGACCTAGATAACACCTGATTCTAATAGAATGATGTCACTTATTATTAAAATTTTATGCTAATTAGCGCAGTGTGAAAGATAGTAGGTATATTCTCGGGTGTATTGTTATATAACTTCCTTAATTTGATCATCCTTGATGAGTGAAAAAATACAAGGTTGCAGCTATTATTCATAGAAATTGTGTAATGGTCTTGAACCAAACGTTTAACACTAAATGGTATCATTGGTATAAGTCTTTACTAGGTTAATCACTGTAAATAAGTTTACTAGCACGATAGATTGGCTTATTTGTGAACGTACATGGCACAGAAGGTGTACTCAGGATAAAACATTTCATGTTTGTAATTAAATAGAAAAATATATTTAACGCACCAATTAAAAACAGTAAACGGTGGCACAAGGAAATTATGCCACAATGACTGTAGCAGGTTGTAGATAAAATCTTTTACAAGTCAAGGATCTTGAGGTTCAGCTTTGCAGCCCCATTCTTCTCAATTTTGCCGACGTTTTCAGCCATGGCGTTTGCCGTTTAAATGGTTTTACCTAACATTTTGAGCACTCAGAATTTTCTTTCCAAATACTATGTTAATCACATAATTTTAGAGGCTTCCACTCGTGCAGGGGATTATTTTTGATCAAAATTTTATTTAGTGACTTCTGCATTGTTCATGTTGAAAGAGTGAAAGAGGACGTCATTGTTGTAAATACAGTTTGTTTGTTTGTTTATCTAGCATTAATGCTACAATGTCAATTTTGTATAATTTTTCATTAACATATTTTTTGAATCATTTTTCTGTAATTTTGTGTTCTTGTCTATTAAAATTACGTCACTATGCATGTTGGGTATTCATAAAATGACTTTTTAGTTTCAGCTTAAACATTTTTAAATTCGAATACCGTTTAATAGCATTATTCAATTCATTGAATTCTAATACCCTCTTTTTAAATAAGATTTGCTAGTTATGCTACTATATATATATATATATATAATTTTGCAGATGAAAATTTATACTGCCTCTAGTTTCGTAGTTACGACGACTATTTAATGTTGTGAAGTTTTCTAAATGGGGTGGTAATACATGATTTTTTAATTTGCGGATGGAAATCAGGACTAAATGACATATACATTTGTTTACATTCAATCACTGCAGTCCTTCTAACATAGACTTTATCTTAGCGTATATGCTTTTTATTTACAATGATACTCATAGCTTTATTTTGTAGAATTTGTGATTTAGAAAATATGTTTGAATTTGCTGTAAACAAAATAGTTGAACAATATAAAGAATGGAGAGGAATTATGGTGTTATACACATTTTTTTTTTGTTGAAATACATATTGAGATTATGGAAAACTAGAAGTTAATTTATCTTTATTGGCATTTTTGAAATAATGTATTCTAAATGCTATTGAAACAGTAGTTCGACTACTTCAATTTATCTTCATTATTATGAAAATTATTGGATTATCATCTAAATGTTTCCCTGTTGACACTTCTTTTGCTTTATTGGTGTTTAATTTAGGTTTATTAACATTCTTACCAATTCATATTATTTTTAATGTCTCTATTTAACCGCTCTAAAGCAATGTCTAAATGATTGTATTATGTTTATACACACCAATGAAACGTCCGCAGATACTTGAATTTTGCAGTGTTCTAAAATGTCATTTACATGTATATAACGAATAGAAACGGGCCTAATTTACTCCCCTGTGTCACCCCTACTAATATATTTTGAATGCTTGACATAATATTCTCAATTTTAGTTTTTGACTTCTATTTAGTAAATAATTTTGTACAATGTTTAATACCCTTTAAAATCATAGTGACGTAGTTTCATTATCGATTTTTCTATAGTCCTGTCTATAATGGTCTTTTGAAATCTCAAAATAATGTTACAGTGCTTGCTTTCTCATCCATACTTCTTCTCCAGTCTTCCAACACCATGTGGATTGCTATTTCTGAATATTTTTTCTAAATCCAGCTTGAAATGTTGTCAAAATGCTGCTTCCTTCAATGAATTCAATGATTTGTTCGTATATTATCCCTCCATAATATTGTAACGCGCTTCTAACTAGAACTTGGAGTAACAGTGAGACATCCTCGTAAACATCACCGCTTAGGCAGAATTACGCGACCGCGCGTGGCTAACATTTGCCACGCTTCGAGAAACATCCACCGTCTCTAGCAAACTTCGAGGAAGGATCGAGATCGGTCTAGAAAACGCGGAAATGGTTCTGTACTCATCTATTTGAAGATAAATATATACACACACATACACACAGAGGGCAGAAGCGGATAGAGTCGAAAGATGTATTTCAATATTTGACAAATTATAGTTCCGTCAGTAATATTTTAGCCAGCCCAGTTGTGATATATTTTTTAACATACTAAATTTGTCATCAAATGCTTTTCACCCTTTAAACAGGTGCGTGAGGGTCATTTCCAAGTCGGATCTTAGATTATAAGTGTTTATACTTCTTGGCATGTTAACGGTCAGTGATTTGTACCTTGGGCTTTAATTTCAAGCCACGAGTCATAAACGCCCATTTTATTACCGAAATACATAAATGACATACAGGATTTTTTATTCTGTTTATTCGGTTGCTTTTATTTTTGATATTCATTCACATGCGACACAAATCACAGTGATTAGGCAGCAAAATAATCTGGATGCTTACTTGATATAACGAGTTTCCAGTGACATATGAATGAATGTAATGGGTTCCATATTTCCTGATGAAGTTCAAGACAGTTTCTACGTCTCCAATCTTGATCTTATCTATTTCTCTGGCTACAATGTCTGCTAAGATTATATTATTTGGCATTCGGTCCAATTTTACTATTTCTCTGAATCTGGAACAAGTAAAAATTTATATGTTTGGCGTTATCATATTGAGTGATAATTCAATCTGGTAGCGCTATCTACAGGGTCCTAACCGTGCGAGGATGGAGTATTGTTCCTAAACAAAAAGTTTAAAAATAAAACTGCAGGCAGGTTTCTAAAATATTCACCAGTATGTAGGGTTTAACAATCTTATATAAATAAAAAGCTCATGAAAATGGGGATCTGATAGTGCAAAAATATACAGGGTGTTCCGTTTAATTTTTTGCGTTTTTGACTACCCTTCATTCGAGTTCGAAAAATGGATGAATTTTGCACGGTGAACCATCGAGGCTGGGAAGTGGTTTTATAAAAAAACTATTGAAGATATTCGAAAACGGTTGTCGCAGCAAGATGGACATACCACGGTTGTGCATTTCTAAATTATTTGGAAATATACAGGGTGTTGCACAACGTCGTGACTCATTAAATATATGTTTTTCCAAATGGAACGCCTTATACTTCATTAGACATTTGGAACTATGTGAGACTCAGTATATTTCCAAATAATTTGAAAATATACACCCGTGAGATATCTATGCGGCTGCAAAAATTATTTTCGAACATCCTTTACAGTTTTTATATAAAACTACATTTCGTTTTCGTTGGACCCTGAATAATCCAGAAAGCTGTAATGCTTTTTCGTCTATGTCCTGGTTGTAAATTTGTGTCAAAATTTGTCCACAATACCCACAATTTTACTTTTGTGGTTCTTGTCATCGTTTGTCCCTGTACTTCTGTTCTGTTATTCGATTTCAAGAAAGGTATTGGAAAAGGGTGATCAGTAACTCAGAAAAAAGTATCTTCAAGCAACTCATACTGTCATACTCCTACTTTGAACTGAGAAATCATTGTCGCATGGTCTCAACTTCGCGAGATTTTGTCAAATGAAAGGTGATAACACCCTCCCATCAGTTGTTATGAATATTTTCTGCTATTTGAAAAAATTAAGTAACTCGGAATTTAATTCCTAGGTATATAAATTTTGTAGCAAAGTAAAATAGCCGACATTCATATCATTTTGAAAAAAATCTGTATAAATGATATCTTAATAAAGAGGAATTCCACGAGTTGTGAAGCAAAATTCCTTTGTGGAATTTTCGGACCTTTACATGAAAGACTTAACGCCAACTCATAAACTTTCGACATCAGCGGATCTGCGTTTTGGAGGTGCGTGATCCCGTAGGTCAAGAAATGGAGCAGTACCCCGAGAAAATGCCGGATCCCGTTTTGCAAAACTGCAATTCCTAATACGTGTACAGACACATCGCGCGAAGATTGGAGTTGAGCTACCCTGTTCCATTTTGGCATCTGACTATGGGAATTAATTTTAGGCATGTGGATTAGAAAATTTAAAACAAAATGCTTCTGGTATGTTGAAAATAATTGAGATAAAGAGTACGATGAACAGTTATCTTCTTGTGGCTCTGTGGATATTGTAATAGCTATTTTTAAGCAGTTCTCAATTTCATAGTTAATACAGAATGTCTGAGCTAGTAGTCTTCAAGTAACAGTCGCTTCTAACATTCAGATTATTATTTCATTTTAACAGCCAAGAATTACTTATTTTCCCTGAATTCACCTGGATAATCGTACCAGCACGTAGTAGTGCTCTTTGACAATGAACGATGCGTTGATGCCCAAATTCCTGGCCAGCGTCTCTGGTGCCCATGAGGAAGTGAATGCTCTCCATGGTTTGTCTAGTCTTTCAAATGTAAAATCTCTGAAACAACAAATCTGTATTCAGTATGAATTCTTGAAAATGGAGTCGAAAACCATTTAGACCAGCAACACGCCGCAGATTCGTCGTCACTGTGGTTGGTCTGTAATGGAGTTGCGACTTCAATGTAAATATTTTGCAACCAAACAGTATATTCTCGTTATTATAGCTTTTTTCTATGAAAGATAATTGGAAAAACTTGCTCTCCATAGCTTAAACCTTTTAAATTTTGCACCAATACCGTGAGGTTATTTGGCTTAGCTTGAGTTAGGTAAGGACTAGGGATAGCAATTTTTACAAAAACATCGATGTTTAGATATCGATAAACATCTCAGTCGTAACATCGATGGCATCAACATTTCGAGACAAATGCATCGATCATATCGATGAATCGAAACGGCTGCTTTTTTATTTATGTTATCAGCCAACAATTCGTCGATTACAATCGGTTTCAGCGGAATCTTACTTTATCCGTTGGTGGAATTCCCAACGTGTTTTTTATCGTTTTCAGGACCATTAAAAATAAATGAACGCGACTTCACGAGAGGATGGAAGAGCGATACATCTGTAACCGACTGCAATATTTCGGTAAGAAATGGTTATAATGAATTAAATATATGGGGTATCAAAACTGAGAACATATTGATGACCATGAAAAAACGAAATAGTTGTGTGTTCAATCTAAATATAACATAATTTTATTGAATATTAAAATACTGAGAGTAACTGTAATGTGCAGTTTACTTTAAAGAAAATACAGAATATAAAGCCGAGCCTACAGTCCGTTTAGTGACTATAATTATTAATATTGGTACTGAGGTAGTACTAAACAGATTTCTGCCATTTACGCATTTACTAGCAGCTCAGTTTTTTTTGGGAAAACGCTCAGACCCGTCGATTTTGTTTCCGAGGGGGACACAAGTTTGATAAAAAATCACGTTAGCACGTGCAGCGTGCAGCCCCCTAGGCGGGGGTGACACCACCCCCAAAATCTTAAATGGAAAGGGGGGTCGAGTGATACCTTATTTTAAAGGTCTTTCAATTCCCTTTATAATGATATAAAATTAATGTACTTCAGCTCAGTAGTTTTGAAGATTTAATGATTTAAAGCTTAAATAAAACTAATACATCATCATTCGTGGAGATCAATACATTTGGCAGCCAAGTAATTTAAAAATGAAGAATGAACTGACCCGTTAGGCAAGTAAATGTTGAAAATGCCCACAATGACTCTCCATGCAATAATAAAGATTTTGGTCAAAACGTTGCTGCACATTTTGCAATATTTGAGGAGTAATTTGAAGGCACTCATTCACAATTCTTTGTCGCAGGTCTTCTAATGATGTTGGCTAAGTAGCATAGTTGCTTTTTAAATGACCCCACATAAAGAAATCCAAAGGTGATAAATCTGGCGATCGTGGGGGCCATTCAATGCACCTCTTCTACCAATCCATCGATCTGGAAACGTCTGATCTAAATATTGTCGAACACGTAATGCGTAATGTAGTGGGGCACCATCCTGTTGGAAAATCAACCTATTCGCAATGTACCGCCGATCATTCTGATTTTCAATTATGGCTGTTAATGCAGGATCTATGGCGTCTTCCAGTTATTCCAAATACATTTCACCGGTCAAATTTCCAGGTAAGAAAAATGGACCAACTAAATGATCGCCAAAAATACCAGCCCAAACATTTAATTTTTGTGGCTGCTGTGTATGAACCTCATGATAAGTTCTGGGATTAGAATCGGACCAATATCGGTAATTATGACGATTTACTACGCCATTTAAGAAAAAGGAACATTCGTCGGAAAAGCAAGTGTTGAATTGAAAATGTTCATCGTTCATAATTCGTTCACTCATATGTTCACAAAATTGTATTCGCCGATCAAAATCGTCTTCATTAAGTTCTTGTACCAGGTGAATTTTATATGGATGAAAACTATGGGCCTTTAGAATCCGTTGGACAGTACGTCGACCAACACCTCACACAGTCTCTAATTTGCGGGTACTTAACGTAGGATCTACATAATCTTACCCTAAAACCCACACTTCTATTGCTTCGCTCCTTATCGGACTTTCAATTTTGCGTATTTTATTGGCGACTGACCCAGTTTCCCGAAATTTAGCTACAAGTTCTAGAACATATTTTCGATACACGTTACTGTTCTCATGTCGCTCATTAAATATTTCTGGTGTTCTATTAGCGCACTGATTATTTCCGAAAAATATTTCGATAATTTCAACTCTTTCTGCTGTGGAATATACCATGGTTAATTTATGTAATAAAGCGTTACAAGTTATTTTAGCAACAAAGTTTGGTCAAATCAATCGCAAACTATGTACTAAATTCCTATTTAAAATAAGTTCGAGATATTTCCTTATCTTTCTTCAAGAAATAACTTTTTTGCCACAAAAAACGCTCCAATAGCTATTTTCAACAACAAAATGGTAAACAAACCATGGGCGTAGTGAAGAAAAGCATTTACTTATTAAGTAAATTCTTTTAGTAAAATTTCTTCCGAAAGTAGTACAAACTAATATGATGTACTGAAGTCTACTTTAAGCTTTAAATCAATAAATTTTCAAAACTACTGAACTGAAGCTCATGTATTTTATATCATTGAAAGACCTTTAAAATAAGGTATCACTTGACCCCCTTTCCATTTAAGATTTTAGTGTTGGTGTCACCCCCGCCCAGGGGGCTGCACGTGTTAACGTGATTTTTGCCAAATTTGTGTCCCCCTCGAAAACAAAATCGACGGGTCTGAGCGTTTTTCCAAAAAAAACTGAGCTGCCAGTAAATGCGTCTGTTTCGTTTTCGATGCGCCACCCTGTATATATGCATATATGGACATACAACCATGGATGTCTAAACGTCGATGTTATACACTGAGAAAACAGTTTTTCTGGAAAATTTACATTACCCGTAATGAATTATGCGTTTTAATTAAACTGATTTTTCTAGAACCAGGCCAATTGAAAGTACTATATATGTATACTATCAAACTAATTTTCTTGGAAGTAGCAAACAATGTAGGTACTTGTTTTATTGAACTGTGTAATTAGTTCTGGTGATTTAGTTTATGTAGGAAAAATAGATTTTAAAACAATTAAACATTTTAATAAGAACAGTTAAATTGATTATTTGAAACGCGTACTCAACAGGCTTCGTTCGCGAATGATCGAGAGCGGCATTCTAATCCTTTTCATCTGACTATTTTTCTCGTCATAATTTCTACCAATCACAATCGCGCAATTTTGAATTACAAATAGTTACTAGATGGAAAAATTGTGTCAGCACCTGTCAGCAGTTTTTTCGAGTTTACCGGCGGCAAAACTTGGCAGCTGTGCCAACAAATTACAATACATTTGATAACAAGTAATTACGGTCTCCTAGGACACCAGATAACCTGTTACTCTGTTTGCCTGATAAAAAAATCGAAAAACAATGCAAAGTAATATTTTTTAACAAAAGACATTCGTGTAGGTTTTTTGCTGCCAGCACTCATGCTTCTTGTTAAAATATTACTTAGCAACGTGCTTTTTCGATTTCTTTTTCGGAAAAATCAGATGCCCTTATGATATTATCTACTTATGATAATTCCATGGTGTATATAGATATGACTAAAAAACAATGTTTCCATTTTTTTGTAAAAAAATGCATTTTTGTGCAATTTATTGTGTATTGTTTCGAAAAATCTTTTACTTGCTTGAAGCCTCGTCTCGCAGCAATTTGAGCAAAAGCAAAAATTTTCTCAGAGGAAAGGTGATAACAGTAACACCCGTTTCATTCATCCATAAAGGTGGAATATTCCCATACAATTTCAGAGCTGTACTAATATTTGTTAACAAGTTACTATCGAAGAAAAAATCCACAATAAAATGCACAAAAAATGTATTTTATGACAAAACAAAATTATTAAAAACGATATTTTTCAGTCATCTCTATACACATCATGAATAAGTAATCAGATGAAGAGGATTTAGAATACTGCTGCAAACAGGGAGCTGAGAAAGAAGCCAAAAAAAGGGACGTGCAACCTTAAGAAGATTTTGAAGATGAAATTAAGAAACCTGATACTAACAAGTTCCTGGGGATAGCTGAACTGAGTAACGACGTTGACGGGGTCACCGTCTATGGCCCGATTAAGTTGCAAGTTTTCACGCGCAGGTATGCGAATAGCGAAACCTTAACTACTTAATCCTGGTTTCAAAAATGTTCAGATCATGTATGCCGCATATACGTACCTGAAATATGCTTGCACTAGTTGTCGTACATTATCGCAGAATTCCATGTGAAAATCCCCTTCGAAGACTCGTCGCTGCCTTTTTGATACCCTTTCAGGGCGACTAGCGTACCGTTCTAGGTCACTAAATATGGCGATGGTTGGCTCACGGAACATCCAGTCTGATTCGTTGCGAGATATCACCTGGAAAAAAATAGAGTAAGTATTGTCGTTTGAATCGATCATGAAAAACAAAGGACATTCGTGCGCATGGGCGCGATAAAGGAACAGGGGCAGAAATAGAAGGATTGAATCTGAATACATTTGTAGGAAAATTTGAAGGAAAACAAGGCTGGGAAGGGAAATACAACTACAAGCCACTAACAAGAACCAGCAGGCACATTTGTGGCTTCGGTCAGAAGTCCTCGTGTTCACGAGTAATCAGCCAACGTCATCACGCAGACCAACTATAGCTACCTGCCGTGGCACTAGTCCACTACTAAATATTAGTTACGAGTGCCAGCGAAAACTTATTTTCAAAAGTTACGTGTGAAAAATAACTTCCATCAGGTACTTGGAGTCCGTCATTGAACTTTCGCATTACTCGCTGCTGCACATTAGTTGGAAATTTAGCAAACTTGCTCTTGATTGCTGTCTTCTTCTGTATGGAATTGAGCCTGTATACTCCCTCTTGGAGGTAGCCCCAAGAAAATTAGGCACGTACTGTGAGGTCTGTCGACCGAGGCGGCAAAAAAATACCTGGGGCCTGATTCTAAATAGGTTTCGACCGTTGAAATTCATTTCGATGGCGCCTTGATTCGCTATGATAATTTTGACACTGCCATGACAATTTGAATTTAGGAGATCTATATAATTAGATGTCAAAAATATCATAGCCAATCGAGTATATCGTCACAAGGCGCCATCGAAATTAATTTCACCGGTCGAAACTCATTTAGAATCAGGCCCCTGAACTGTGCGAAATTTTTAATGTATAATTACTAAATGTAAGCCTTTGTTGGTTTTCTGTTGATAGCAGCTGCTGAACAATCATGGTTTTACACGGGTGAACTTTCATGTCCTTGGTGAGAATTATTAGCATACTTCGACTACGCTATTGGCTACTTGCTACTCTGCTGTCATAAGCCAGAACGTAGTAAGTGCAAAAATGCGAAAATGAGATATTGTCGTTATATTTCGATAAAATACAGTATATGTCATGATAAACACCGAACATCTAAAATTTACCGTTTACAGTATCCAGCATTTTTACTGTATTCTTGCTTATAAATCATACAGATACTGTGTTTTAATTTATAGCCAAAGCAATGGCTCCAGCAGATACTACGAGCCCCTTCCCACTCCAGTTGGCCCACTTCAAGATTTATACCAAAATATGCCTTTATAAACTAAACATGACGGAACTATTTACTTCTAAAACAATTTATTTTCTCAAAAACATTTTAGATACACTCTAGTCGTAAAAAATACATATTGGAAATCACTTAGACCTATAAATAATAGAACATCTGAACAAATAAACAACGTGTGAATAAATGCGCGAAGTTAACAAAGCAACAATTGAAAGATTACCATTGGGTAACATCACCTTTATTTTTTATTACGGCTGACATTTTTTGGGGCATAGTGTTAACCAAGTTTTGGCAAAAAATTGGTGTAAAACAATCCCATATTTCTTGAAGTTTTTTTTTTATACTCCAACTACCACGAAGGCCTAAGGCTAAACACCCATTGGGTACCGTGGGGCTATAGGGGGATACATGGAAAGGGGGGACGCCACACGGACTCTGGCGAGGGAACACGTGTGCATGCAACATGCACACATTCTGGCTCCGCCGGGTGGTACCTCCGCGTTCGACAGTCAGAGACCATCTACCACCTACGGACAATCACAACATCCATAGCCAAGAGAAAAATTTCTTCTGGGACGGGACTCGAACCCGCACAGCGCACGGCGACTGATCAGGAGACCGAAGAGTCTACTACTGCGGCCACCGCTGCTGCCTAGAGGCCACCGCTGCTGCCTATTCCCTCCCTTTGTCTCAGTTCGGTGATTGTACGAGCAGGATGTTGTCATAGAACCTTTTTCATCTCGTGCCACAAAGTTTCAATAGGTGACAGATCTGGACTGCTAGAAACCCATTTCAAAAGTGGTACATTATTTTCTTCCATCCATTTTATAGCCTTTTTTGAGGTATGCGATTCTTCTAAAATTGCTAAATATTTGTTTGTATCCACATGTCCATCAATAAAATGAGATTTTCCTACTCCTTTTGATGACATACTGCCCCAGACCATAACGGATGCTGGAAATTTCACTTTTCTCTTCAGACAGTCAACATGGAATGCTTCATTTTTTTTGCGAATAACTCTACTGCGACTGTCTCCAACACAAACTTCGAATCGTTCCACATCATTCCATTGTCTTGCACACCATTGTTGAGGTGTCCATTGTCTATGTTCTTTAGCCCATCTAAGCCAATTTTTCTTTTGCAGTGGAGTTAATAGTGGCTTTTCTTTGGCATATAAACAAGTTGTGCAACTTTAGGGTTTTTACTTCACTTTTTTTTATAAGAAAACTTACCTTGCAAGTGCTAAATCCCAGTTTGTGGGCCTCTCTATGAATTGTGGACCTCTAAATTCTCCTTCCAACAGCGTCATTCCACTGAGCACTTAATTGTAAATAATTTTCACGCCTGTTTTTCACGATTATTCCTCTTAATGCTCTTCGGTCGGCATTTGTGATATTTCTTTTTTTCACATATCGTGACTTAATATTACCTAACTCAATCAGTTTCGTTATATAATAATAATAATAATAACCGTCTTTATCATTGACATAAGACATTGACAAAATGGTAGGTGAACATAAGTACATCCAGTGTCAATAAAAGGCGAAGTTCAGTTTGATTAGTACACAGTACCAACAACTTGCTCTTCCACTTAGCCCAGTATCCTCTACGACATATGACATCCGATAAACCGATAATACATACATGTCACTATAAAAGAGGGACATACCTACACGGTAACAAAAAAAAAGCAATCAGTCATTCATTCATGCGGTGCTACTGTTTTTTCAGCAGTTCCTTTTTAAACATGGCTTTGAAGTTATCTATTCTAGAAAATTTTAGTTCCTTCCGGACTGAGTTGTAGACTTTATATATTTGGTATGTGAAGCTCCGTTTGAAGATTGACGTTCTAAACTTGGGTGGCGAAATAAGACCCTTACTTCTTACGTTAATGTTATGAACGTCAGTCCGGTAGGTTATTTTTTGATAAAGATATTGTGGTGTTCTGACTAAAATTAATTTATGATAAAAAACAGCAGAGTGGAGGAGCCTACGATTTTCCATATTTAACCAACCTGCATCTTTCAATTTGTGAGATATTCTATGTCTCCTCTATATACCAAATGCAAGGCGCAAGCATGAGTTTTGAACCAGTTGAACTTTACGTCGATACAGGTTAGTTAAGTGTGGGCCGTAAAGCACATCAGCGTAGTTGAATAAAGATAATACTAAAGTATCACATAGCATGATCTTAAGTTTTAACGAGAGAAATTTCCGGCTACCGTAAATAAATTTCAACGACAAATATGCTCTCTGCATAATTTTGTTGATGTGATACTCAAATCGAAGATTACTATCAATCACAACACCTAAATTTTTTACATTGTCCATTATTTTGAGAGTTACATCATTTATCTCAATTTTAATAAGATTCTCTATAACATTTTTATTTTGTCTAGGTCCAAAAACAATTACGTGAGACTTTGATGGATTTATTAAAAGACAGTGGCGTGTGGCACATTCTACAAAGGAGTTTAGCTCATTATTAATGATCAACGAGAAACGATCCATCAATTGTGGGGGGAAGCTGCAATAGATTTGGGTGTCATCAGCGTAAAAATGCATATTACATAGACTAAGGAAGTGCATGAAATTAGATGTATAAATTAGAAATAGGAGTGGTCCACTGAAGTAGCACTGAAATAAATCTATAGCGTTTTGAGAAAGACCAATATGATGTAAAATAGCAAGCATTAATTGATGGTTTAAAGTGTCAAACGCTCTGCTGAAATCCAGCAGAACAAGAACAGTACACTCTCCACGATCTGCAGCTCTAATTATGTCGTCTGTTACATGAAGTAAAGACGCCGTACAGCTATGATTTTTCCTAAATCCAGACTGTACAATTGCCAGTAATGAAAATTGTGACAAATGATAAGAAAGTTGCTCCTCCATTGCACGCTCAAGTAATTTAGAGAAAAATGGTAAAACACTAATCCCTCTGAGATCTTTAAGATCTGAAGGATTAGGTTTTTTTGGCAGAACACAGACATTTGCTTGCTTCCACAGATCAGGGAACTGATTATGCGTAAAATAAAAATTAATTATATGAGTTAAATAAGGAATAATATGAGGGCAACATAGTTTAATAAAATTTAAATTAAAACCATCGCAACCACGAGCATTAGTTTTAATACGGCAAATTGCTCCATAAACAAATAAATCATTAACTTCTTTGAATTCAAAATTTGAAGAATTCCTCCTAGTATTTCTGTAGAAATTTATTAAGTTAGGAGAAGGCTGTATATTAGGTATACTGTTAACAAAAAAATTATTAAGTTCATTGACATCATTAAAGGAATTTGGAATGGTGTTATCCTTTTGAGAGACTATTCCATTGTTCCTTAACCTTTTCCACATTTCTGTTGAACTGCAACTTTCTAATATGTATGTATAATAAGATTTTTTTTATACCTTATAGACTTATTTTGCATTGAAATGAAAATAGGTGGATATGCTGTAATTGCAATACGTGTTATTTTTATGCTGCAAATTTGGTTAGGGAGTGATAAAGTTGGTGTTTTCTACTATATATTATCAAAATATTCATTGCTAATATTTTAAACCTATAACACCCTGATACATTTTTATTATTTGTGTTTGATAAGAAAAAAACTAAGATTTCAATAGTTGGACCAACTGAAGTGGGAAGGGGCTCGTATAAGACATTCAAAAACTACAGGAATTACATCACAAACAAATATTCAGAAAAAAAAACTTGCACCTCTAAGAATTTCCACTGTCCATGAAAGGTTCCTCTAATTTTCGTTTAAACAACTTTAAATTACAAGTAGACTATATATCACTATTTAGTTTATCAAATTTAAGTAATCGTTTTTGAAATATTGATTTGTTAATTATATTACTGTTGCAATTTTGTAAATAAAAATCTATATTTCCTCTTGTATAATACTTGCGGTAGGTAATAATTATTCAGTTTTATGAAATGTTCTAAATGTTGTGGCAAAAGATGATTATTTATTTTAACTATGAAAATAAGATCCAAGTATGTTACGAAATGTTTTATGTCCAACGACTGCAATTCTTGTAACATTCTATTGGTGTACTTATTTTCATCCAATATTACCCTTTGTCTTATAGAACCTGTAATTTTGAGAACACAGCTTCATTGGCAGTGAACAATGTTTATAAGTTTTATACACTAAAGATTATAAGTATATGCCGAACCCGATGCCGAATGTGCGACAAACATCATGGCATTGTACTTACTGTGTCATTAATTAAAAAACCAGAAGTTCAGACAGTTCTGAGGTAACAGTATATGCATTTTTTATTTATAGATAGGCATTCTCGGTAAAATTAATTAATTCGTTAGAAAATATTATCAATTTTAACCGGATACAAACCAAAATCATCATTTTTTCTTGAAGCGTTAAAATTTGAGAAGGATTACAACACGTTCTGATCGTTCCTGTAAAATATGCAATTAGCATAATATATTATCTTCTGGCTTATGACGGCAGTACTACCATCTCGAAGTTCAGCCTGTTATGGACTTAAAAGCTCCTGAGTAAGAGTACTAAGCAAGAAAGCTAATGAGCCACGATATTGTCACATACTAATTAATGTAGTCGGATATGCACAGAAAAAATTAGCGAATTGTGTGCCTACAAACACACAATGAATAATTCATTCGAAGTGTTCGATACAGCTGTTTGCTGTGTCATGGTCAAAGCAAAAAATATCATTGTAATTACAATCTGCGGCAGCACTCGATTCTATCAACTGATACTCTTGGCATGCTTGAACAACTTGGATCACGACTGAATGCCCAAAAAGAAAGTGAGAAAAGCAGCTAATTAATTTATTTGTTGGTTTATTGAAATTTGTTTTTAGGGCGTGGATTAAAGATTTCGATTAACAAGGTTGTATTTTGTAACCGACATATTTAATAGAAGGTAATCAATAGTCATTACCGTACAATTATCATTAAACGTTTTTCTATTTTTTATATTTCTTGGGGTCAGAGGTATCTATTATCAATTATGTACATCTTTTTTATTTGCATGCCGTTGAGCAATATCATAAATGGTATCTTTGGATAAAAGGAAACAAAGGGCTTTTCGATAAGCACGGGTCTATGAATAGAATATAACAAACTGCATGAAGTATTAATAAAATTCATGAAAAGTTCTGTAATTCTTGAAAATCGGAACAATGCCGGCGGCAAGAAGGACAAAAAGTGAAAAAAAATTCTGAGGTTTCTGATCATTTTCAGAAAAGAAGTTGTAGGGGCTAAAATTGGAGGTTGGGGGGTTGTAGGCGATGGAGGTAGGTATATCTCAATTCTTTGGTATTATTATATTAATTTGCCTTTAAACAAATAATGGCACTCCTAATTACAAGTAGTTATATCTACATGTACCCTGCGAGTAAAATCACCACCGATAAAAACTTGTCAAAAACTGACATCATGGGCATAGGGGTCTACTGCGTGCATCTTTGGTTGTTTTTGACTGCAAAATGCAATTTTTGAATAAAATAAAAGAAGACAAGCACATTCTGTATAACCTTTTTACAGCTCAGACCCTTATTTTTTCAGTATTACAAGATGTAAGCTGAGAATATTTCGCCTAGTAACGTGTACAAGCGCACATTCAATTTGTATGCGTGTAGTAATGTAACAGTTGCCATTTTTTTGTTTTAGTGTGTTGGCTAGAAAGATGAACCTCAAAAGCAAGTTAACTATAAGTGTTTCTGATCTCACTCAATCGGCTTATTGAGTTGAGCACGGCGTTTTTTCTTAGTAGCTTAATAACACTATTTTTAATTGGTCGTCTATTCTTAATTAAGTTTGTTGAAATGATATTGTCATGTGATTCAACTAGCTTTATGTAAAGAAAAGAATTACAAATTTAGTTTCCGTTTAACTGTAGATACCACCTCCGTGCTGAGCACAGCACAATAGTACTGTAGAAAATTATTTTCATTTACCTTCATGGAGAGGCTGAGGTAGCCGTACCTGGTGAAGATATCAATAGCTCTGCCTATCTTGAGTTGACTAGCAGTATCATCCCCGGCCTCCCTGCGCCTCATCAGCCCTTTGGAGTCTGGTTGCGCCGCCCTTATGACGCTCAGCGTCGACGCCACCAGCAGCAGGATATCCGGAGCTCCCCCGGGACTCCACTGCATGATGACAAGCCGGTGCTGATGGATGCAACTGGTGCTCTGTTCCGGTGATACCTGGAACAGGAAAGAAAAAAATAGTATCAAACGTAAATAGCACATGTTTCTTCTTTATCTCCGTCTAATGATCTGTACTGACAAGCTCGTGGTACTCCTGTTCATCTTATAACGGACGTTTCTCAAAATCTTAAGATGGACAAATATCTCTAGAAATAGCGAACCGACCGACCGATAGACCCTTTGAAAAGTTTTAAAAGTTATTAAGTCATTAGTTCTTGAGCTATTGGGTATTTTATCCAAAATAAACATCAAAGTTTGATAGTCCTGCTATCTTGACAGTTGGAGTAGTGAATTTTGTGTACAACAATATTTTATTATACTCAATTTTTGCCTATTTTATCCATTTTTCGAATTTTGTGAATAATCAATACAGGGTGGTCAAAAGCGCCGAATGTTATTTTTCGCAAAAAAATGAATGAAGCACCCTGTACATTTTTGTACTATCGGATCCTAATTTTCATGAGCTTTTTTTTAAATATAAGGTTGACTTTTGAATAAGGAGATAATCAATACTTAGTTCCAGATTAGGCTGAAGGAACTGCGCTGTTGTAAGATCTACCGTTTATTGAGAAACTACACTAAATTTGAAAGCAGTAATATCTTTTTCAGACATTGACGCCACAATACAGCTTATTCTAACATCTAAATAACAAATATCGGCAATATACAAAAGTAGGACCTTATGGCGATTCTGGCTAAAGCGCAGTGATTACCATCTGATCTAGAATAATCCAATATCATCCTGTTCAAAATTGGGTCCGTTACTTCCCAATTTACCGTTTCCAGACTTTTGAATAACGCTCTATAGAGCATGATAGTGTCCATATCTACAATCAATCGATGTCTTTTTTTTAAGGATTATAAGAGTTCAACAGACAATGCCTAGAAAGCATAACATAAGACCTTGACGGTGAAGTAGAAATATAACTCTACGATACCTATAATTTATAATTCAGACTTGAATTAATAGACTGGTATTATGTACCTGTAAAAGCAGATCGGGATATGTGCCGTCTAGGAACGCTATCTAAAAAGAGCACAGAGAAATTGCATAGCGAAGAGAGAATCTTGAAACCATTAACACAATGATTTACATTTTAGCCAAAGATGGAATTCGAGACCGGTTTTAAAGACATAATCGGTTAAATTGCAGCTCGTTGGATCTCGTGAAAGATCAAGGACATTTGTTGAGTTTTGTAATAGATCACTTATACCACAATAGGTCTGTGCTTGCACGAAAGAAGCATTATCAATGCATTCATACCTTGAGAGAATATGCAATACAGGATCAATTTCATGATGTATTATTTGGATAATTTAGTTAATTCATATAGAAAATTAATATCTATTAGGGCATGATGAAATCTAATTGCATTTTGAATAATTTATACGTAGAAACCAATAAATTGTGCAATATAAATAAGCTTTTAAAATCAATCTTAAAGCTCCACATATGCCATTTAGGAGAGCCAAATTTGTTGCACATACCGAATGATGATGATGATGAAACTCTTGCATTCTAAAGCCGCAATTCCACCGAGGCAACTTTTGGGCAACATGTAGCATAAGGCATTGACGCATGCGGTACACTGTCTTTCCATAGAGGCAACACAAAGCGACAAAAAATGTCTCCTTGCCGCATGCCACAATTTGCCCGTTGTTGCCTCTCGAGGGTGCCGTCAGCGACATGAATCCACGTGTTGATCAGTGTCGCCGGCTATCCAAACCCATTCGGACCGGTGCGGCTTGTAGCAGGCTACAAAATGGAGTGGACCAATGAAGAAACATTATCTTTAATGGAAGATTCGGATGAATTATGGAATAACAAATCGGAAAGATATAAAGATGCACGACTAAAGCAGGATAAATTACAGGAGGCAAAAATAGTTCGTGACTATGACTACGGCTGCTTGCTAGCGTACACAGTACCTTCAGTCTTTCAGACATATACGATTGTTTGCTTCTTGTCCAGCTGTCTCCTTACCAGTAGTAGACGAGCAGACCTATACCGCACTGACGAGGGCTAATGTGCCCGAAATAGTACTGTCTGTGGGTGGTTATGGTTTCTCTGGGACAAGAAGGAAATACCTTCTCATTTTCTTTCCATAGTTGGCTTATTTATTAACGGTTGATATCTTTAAAAAGGAAAATACAACTGTTCTTGACCATCTACGTATATGTATATTTCTTCTCCATTATTATATGTCGAGTAGTAGTGTATCTCAGGGTTCCAATTTGGGCCCCCTATTGTTTGCCTTATACGTTAACGACCTTTGCAGCACATTATCATGCAAGAAGCTTATGTTTGCTGATGATCTGAAGCTTTACACACGTATTTCTGGCTGGCAGGATTGTGAAAACCTCCAACAACAACTATTTTTTTTACAAACATGGTGTGTTAACAACAAATTGTATTTGAACAATTCTAAATGCCGCATTTCGACCTTCACCCGGAAAGCGATATTTTTAACTTACCCATACAAAATAAATGATTCTGTATTGGAAAGGTGTGAAACTTTGGGCGTCTATTTCGATTGTCAGCTCACTTTTAACTACCACATCAGTGAAATTATAAGTAATGCGTATCGCAAATATGGCTTTATTATCAGAAATTCTAGAAATTTCAATAACACAACGCTTATTAAGTTATTTTCAGTGCTTGATATAAGTAAATTAGAAAACGGTGCAATTATTTGGAGCCCTATCTGTGAACTGTACAAAAATAATGTTAAAATATCTATGCTACAGAAGTGATGACGTCTATCGTCCAAGAGGATATGACAACTCACGATTATTCAATAGATTTAGCGTCCCTTCTTTGCAGAAGCGCAGAGAGCAGGCGTCCATCATATTTTTATACAAATTACTGCATGGTAACATCGACTGTTTTGCTATCGCAAATTAATTTCCTGGTACCAGGGTTGTTTCGTTTTAAACATTTTGTTTTAATCAATTGTTTTAAACATTCGCTTAGGTTCAAAACAGTTTTTGTTGAAAAAAGTTTAAAACATGTTTAAAACACTTAAATTAAACGAGCGGTTTTTTCTTCATTTTCTTTACTAATATAATAAATAAAAATAGGAAATGTTCTCAAATACATTATACAAACTTTTTAACATAAATATTATTTATTTATTAATAATAGGAAACAACAAAAATTGGAAAACTTAAACATTTTGCATACAAGTGTTAACAAACTAATAATAATTGGTAATGCTTCTGGATGATAGGTTTCTACGAGTACTTATTCCATGCCAGTTTCTATTTGCCCTTGACTAAGTTTATTGTCTCTAAAGCGATGATCAAGCAAATTTGCCAAAAAATGAGCTGAGTCAAAGGCATTTTCATACGCTCCTCGACTTTAATCGTATCACTTACCGAAAATTCTCCATTTGCTTGTTCAGTCTGGAATGCTTCTAAAAATTCTAGCCATATCTCTGTAGCCTCTCCTATAGTGCAAGTGTTTCTTTGGACTTTGTCCACAGCAAATGCGACATACCTTAATATTTTAAATAGTCTTGGGCATTTGTCTTTAAATTGGTAAAAATTTAAAATTCAAAATTACCTGTATTATTATCTGGGTAAACATTCTTTGAATATTTTTGAGTTTTGGATATCTCATCTAGCATTAAATCCTCCTCTGACTCGGAATCATAGATAGTTGACATTGGTAGCTGAGAATTTTCAGATGGAACACATTTTTACATGTGTTTCTTCATACGCAGCACTAGTCCAGCCATAATTACTTTACATTTTTTACATTTAGCAGTCACTGATTTTTTGTTATTATCTTTAACAACATCAAAATAGGACCAAATGGCATCTTTCTTCCTTCCGGTAGACGACATTTTTCAAAAAAAGAAAACCACAAAATAACTTACAGTAGACGTTATTGCAATAACCAACGTGCAAGGCGAATTTATAAATAGTAGTCTGTGGTTCCCCCAGGGCAATAGATCCTCATTGCAATTGGTTTTTGTTATTTCGGGATTCACCGGCACAGTCTAACATCGGCGTGTAGTTCGTAACAGCTGATCGCGATAGTTTAGTACAGAGTCGGACTTTAAATAAGGTATCTATTATTTAGTAGAATAATAGGTCGAACATCTTCAATTAATATTGTGATAAAATATGATTTAAATAATGCTTTTTTCTAAGTTACATTTGTTAAAACATCAAATTTAAAAACAAAAAAACGTTTGGAACAAAAAAACATGTTTTGTATAAAATGTTTTCTTTCAACGCTGTCTGGTACCGAGATTGACATCTAAATATAATATAATATAATAAATATAAGTTTCCTTTTTCTGCAAGAGGGTGCAGACAAATCTTCTATCTAAATCACCAATTAACTTTATGTGCAATAATGCGAATAGGATTGTGAGTTTTTCTGATATCTTCTGTTGTTAGGAATTACGAAGTGCTATACGTTCACATCTTTGACTTTTTTTACGCCTTCTCTAGAGGTTTTTGTTTGATATATACTTATGTGTGAACATTACATGATATGGCTATATATACGAGTATATATATATATATATATGTATATGTTTGTATATGTGTACAGGGATATATGTATGTGTATATGGATATGTATGTATATACGAGTAAATTTTGGTTTCCTAATACCTATTAATCATATTTATAGTTTCTTTTCTCTCTACTTAAAGTGCCGTCCTCTTTTCTGTGTGTGTTTTTTTTGTTTCACTTTATAGCACACAGACAGTCTAAATTAAACCATTGTACTATGTATTATGATTATCATTATTAATATTATGGCGTTTTTCTTTTTCTTTTCCGATCCGAAGAAATTACTAAATAAGCAGCCGCCGCGACTGTCTCTAATGACATGGCGCATGCCACATAGGGGAACAAAATGCGCATGCGGCATTAATAGAATTTTGGGCAACACTGTCGAACGTCAACAAGAGGCAACTCCAAGAAACAAGTAGCATGCCACATGTCGTTCATTGTTGCCTTAGTAGAATTGCGCCTTT